CGCCATTGCTTAAGCTTGTTTTCGTCGCGGAGCAGCGCACCAAACGGCGGGCGCGTTTTCTGATAAGTTATTTTTCTGCGAAAAATTCGTTGAACTTTGGAGACATCATTAATAGAAATAATTTTTATGGCCGTTGAATAAGAAATGTTTTTTTCACAAGAAATGTATAAAATTACAGTGCTGTATTAGACTTACGGTACCTAATTTACATACTGTACAGACGATAGTAAACTCAACTTACTTTCCTAAACTCTCTGTAGCGTGTAAGTAGTTCGGCTGCTCGTCTACTATTGGTCCAGATTCGACCAATCCTGTCGCGACACGAGTCGGCGATGACGTTTTGCCGCGTTTTACGAGTTTATTTTAGCGTCTTTATACGAATACGGTCGCAATTTTTTCGCCGCGTTATAGGAATCCGCATTATAGGAACCCGCGTTATAGGGGTCTACTGTATATTTTTAGAAATTGTCTTAGATAAAACCGATAACAGGGAGAATGTAATTAAAAAAAAAGAAAAATATATATTTAATGTATAGTCTTCAGTGAATTTGTAAAAGAACTTGTAACCCGGAAAGCATCTGATTTAAACTGAAGAGGAACATGAGTGACCAAAATGCATATTTAATAAAACAGAAAAACCAAAAAAAGGTCTTTTGGTATCCAAGTAAAAACATTTCAAAAGGTGTGATAAGTTCTCAGACTAGAAGCCGATATACAAGCTTAATCACCATTAAATTTTAAAACAAAGACGAGCTATTATTTATTGTGACATAGTCACAATGCCAGGCAGCAATTTTTAATCATATTTTTAATTTATTTAATTTAAAATATATGCTTTCCACTTCAGATTAGTATCATCTTTCCCCTGTACATCATCCTTTTCCTTTAACAATAGAGTCGTGCCGGTCATCTATTTAACACCTTTTGGGGAAAATATTTGAATTGAAATAACATGATTTCTGGTTTACATTGGAAGATCTTGTATAGTTAATTTAGGCCTCCTGACCCTAAGATTTCCACATCTGGTCTCATCTTTTATCTATCTGACTTTGTTCTCGACATTAAGGAAAGACAGACAGAGGAGAGGACAGATGAACAGTGGAAATTTATAGGTTGGAAATTAACTACAGTATTCTTGTAGTAGCAGGAGCGAGAGAAACTATTTTGCAAATCAATTTATTANGCTATTATTTATTGTGACATAGTCACAATGCCAGGCAGCAATTTTTAATCATATTTTTAATTTATTTAATTTAAAATATATGCTTTCCACTTCAGATTAGTATCATCTTTCCCCTGTACATCATCCTTTTCCTTTAACAATAGAGTCGTGCCGGTCATCTATTTAACACCTTTTGGGGAAAATATTTGAATTGAAATAACATGATTTCTGGTTTACATTGGAAGATCTTGTATAGTTAATTTAGGCCTCCTGACCCTAAGATTTCCACATCTGGTCTCATCTTTTATCTATCTGACTTTGTTCTCGACATTAAGGAAAGACAGACAGAGGAGAGGACAGATGAACAGTGGAAATTTATAGGTTGGAAATTAACTACAGTATTCTTGTAGTAGCAGGAGCGAGAGAAACTATTTTGCAAATCAATTTATTACATCATTAATTAATCAAATCGTTGTTTTTTCTTTTACTGTATTTAAATCTTTAAAATGATTAAATTTGAATCAATTTTTGATAATTAACTAATGAAAATGGAATTTGTTTGGCCGATGAAGATGAATGTTTTATTTATTTACGCATACTGGTTTCATCCATGATACCGGAAATACAAACATACAAATAATCATTAGAAAAACAGCAAAAACACAATAATACTGTAATTAATAAATTATTACAGAAAAAAAACAGAATACACACATAAATATAATACAAAGAAGATGTATGTTTCTTTATGTGCTCGAAAATTTTTCCAAGGTAAATTCATTATATCCACTTTTTTTATTTTCACCATCAATTTTACTACAACTTTTTTTTTTTTTTATTTTGAACTCTTTCCGCCCTGTGGGGCACTAAGAGGGCCTCTTTGTGCAAGCCCATTATGGGTTCGGCCAGGCCCACAATGGGGCTGCCGGGTGGTGAGGGACGGGGTTACTACAACTTTGTATAAGGATCCAGTTATTTCTTCTGCTTGTTGTTGTTTGCGACCATAGCAAAACAGGAACAAGATCGGCAACCCTGCCGAAGATGCCGAAATAGTCATGACTCAGAAACATTAAGTAGAATTCCGAGAATAAAGTACCAAGCTATGATCTGGCCATGTGAATATGTTAATGTTTTATCCTTCTAACAGGAAAAATAACTTTCGTTATTATGGAATTATAAACAAACATGCCAATTCTATATAAATTGAAGCAAAATATAAGAAATTGAATGAAACAGACAACTTATTTGATATTTCAACTACGCTTGTTGGAGAGAACAACACATCAACAAGCCTTCATTAAAACTCAACTGTCTAGCCTCTAAAGAGAATCTCCTTTTATTTTGTTTCAAAGAAAATGTAATTGACGAACTCGCCCCGTCCTCCCCTATATATTTTATTTGAAATTTTCAAGTTGCCCCACCACCTCACCCAAGTATACTTTTAACAAAGCGGGGCCTTATTTTACTATTATTTTTAATTTCGATGATAGTTTAAAAATTGGCAAGATTCTATTTACGTATTAAAAATATAAAATAACTTACCGGCGCCAAATATATCGGAAGCAGACGATAAAATGACTTGTTACCTCAGTTGCTATGGAAACGAAAGTTCGTCTGTTCATTTTAAAACTTTTTTTTTATTTAAGATTTTAACTCAATTATTATCGTGTATTAATTAAATAATTTTAAAAATATAAATGTTTATATTATTTAAATAAATTAATTTAAAAAATTGAATTTACGGGAATAAATTTTTTTATATTAAAATGTCGTTGTACGTCGCGCGTTGCCGTGATGACATTGTCAGATTGTACGAATTTTGACATTCCAACCCGTTCCCATTAATGTTATTTTTATAAACGAAAAAATTAAAATTAAGACTGTCTTTAATTAAATTAATAAAGAAACATTCTACATATTTCGTTTCTTCAAAAAAGCTGACAAAAGAGGCCCTCTAAGGCGAGGGGCCCTCTGCGTAGCTCCGGTTACATATTATTGATACATGTAATTTATTATATGGAATTAAAAATTATTAGTAACATAGTAAATAATTCAATTAGTTTATATTCTCGATTTTCTGGATTAATATGTTTTATTTCGAGTAAAATAGAATGTAATATTCAGAATGATTAATATTTCGGTAATTTATATTCCTGTTACTCTTCAATATCAAATATGAGTTCGGAAGGACCTTCATCTTCATCACCTAAAATAAATATAAATGATTTTTTTAACCAAAATTCATCAACAAAATTGATTCATAGTATAGTAGAATATATTGAATATACATTTTTACTGTTTGCATATAATTTAGAGCTTTATATTTTAAGGGTGAGCAATTATTTATTATGATAAGGTCATAATGTTCTCAATTTTAGTATTGTCTTTTCCTTGTAAATCATGCATTTCTGTTAAAAATAGTCATGCTGGTCATCTATCTAACTCTGTTCTCAAGATTTTAAGGGAAAACAGACAAACGAAAGCCAGTGGAAATGTATAGGTGTACAATTTTTTAAAATTACAGCCCAATAATGTGCAAAACTAATGTTGAATTTCGTTAGTAAGTTTATTTATTAACGTAAGAAACTTACTGTTAGATCAAGAGAGAAACAAGATGGAGTCCTTGGTTAATCACGAGATTGAGCCCATCCAACTAAAAACACTGGAAAGTGTTTTTAGTTATTTCCATGATTATTTCTGGAAGGCGGGCTACAATACTCACAGAAGAGGGAACGGGGCGAACGATACATATTATCTAATTTATTCATTGTATTTATGCCCATTCACAAATATCGGCTTATTCTTATTCTAAAGTTACGAATAAAATACTAAATAAGTTGAAAACAAAAAGTTTTCATCGCTTCTCAGAAGTTATTTCATTTATATCACTTACGTTTTTAATATAAGGTATTGTTTTATCAGGATCAGAGTTAAATAACCTTGCTGATACCCCTCTATCTGGTACTATGTAAATTCTATTATGGATAAAATATCTATCAGAAAATAACATTTCGGATCTAGAATTTAAAGACATTAATTTTACTAACGACATATTGAAAGCGTTCGTTCAGTGGCCAAACCGTTCGTATATCATCGTCTTAGGTTTTGTTGTAGTAACAAAAACAATTGATATGCAAACAAAAAAAATCTAGCAAAGAGTTGCGTAACTTTCCCGGCTGTTATGAGTATTTATTTAAAAAAATAACTTTTATATTATTAAGCAAAATAAATAAAAATATGTGGCGCCATCTGTTATGAGATTTTGTTTTAAAAACTTTTTGCCATTTTATAGTAATTAAAAATATAAAAAGCTTAATTTTAGATTAAGGATGAATTTTATGGAAAAATATAAATGTTAATAACGAATAAAATCTTCATTAATTCATTCATAGGTGATTTTTACGTACAAAATTAATAATTTTACATTTTGCTTTGAAGGGCCAAGCTTATCTTTACCAAAGAATACTCCTTATAAAAAAAATTTGACTGTCGTCCAAATTATCATAATTTCTTTTACTTGGCGTAATTTTTTTACATCTCGGATGTTTTTGTTTGGATTATATATTATCAATAAATTATTTCAAAATTTTAATGGTATTTTATAAATCATTAATAATGCTAATAAAATAATTTTATACTTATTTAACAATAACAAATGATAACCAGAAATTTAAAAGAATTAATAATAATATTTAATTGACTGTAAAAATTTTAATAGAGACTTCTACCTGTAAAAATGCAGTCAGGTATTCGTTTTGCAGGGTCATATTTACCATTACTTTTAGTACAAATGGTTGTCATTTTTCTCGAACCATCAGGAAATCTATATCCTCTTTTGCACTGAGTTATACATTTTCTAAATATAGAAAAAAAATAATACTGTATAGTTTTAAAGAAATGAGGAATTATTTATTGTAACATTGTCACAACGCTCTCAATTTTACTAGTTAGTCCCTGTAAATTATATTTTTCCTGTTAACAACGGAGTTGTGCTAGTNTAGTTCGAATATAGTTAATCGGGCCTATTTTATCTGAACTCAACTTTCATTTAACTCCATTCTCAAAATTAAGAAAGAACAGACAGATGCCAGTGGGATGAATGTAATAACTTAAACCCTATGAATTTAATTTTATTATTAATCGAATGTGCAGAATACGTAGTATGTATGACAATATAACATTTAACATAATTAAAATGAAAATTAAATAGAAAAATAAACATAACTTACAGAGTACTTGAATCAGACACACATAGAGAAAGCTGATCTTTTCCTTTAACGATTTCACAAACGAGACTAGGATCTAAAAGTCAAATGTTTTAATTATATTTAAAGTATAAAGTAATGTTTAATCACTTAATATATTAATTTCCTTACCTATAGGTTGGCAATCGGGAATTTTCTCGATTTTATTATACTTAAATCCATTCTTTGAGCAATTATAAGTTTTAATGGTTGAACCGTCCGGAAATTTATAATTTTCAATACATATTGCTCTACAGAATCTATAACTAAAATTTATTGTGAAATTATTTTAAATCTTAAATTAATTAATTTTAAAATAAACTGTAAATAGATACAGGAAAACTTACCGTTGATAACGGCTACACCATAATGTCCCATGAAGAGGTGGACTGGCAAGGTTACATGCTGAGTAATTAAAATAAGTCTGAGAAATGTGAATTAATATAAATTAAGAATTAAGAAATATTTAAAATATTAATTAAATGCCGAACTGCAATTTTTCGTCACGTGTTTCTAATTGCAGTATAGTAAGGTTTGCTTTGTTAAGCCGTTTGTTCGTCCGTTCTCTCGCTTACTTGGTGGCTAGCCTCTACCGAGTCTTATCATTAATTTTTCTTTAATTTTAAAATGTATTTCAAAAATATAAATATAAGTGAAAACTTTTCTAAAAAAATATTTTAAAATTGACGATAAAATCTCGATTGATTTTATTATAAAAGTTAATATGAAATAGATATTATTTTTAATTAAGAAATAAAAAATTACCAATTAGATTGTCACTATCTCTTTTCTTTCTTTCATTTGTAACATCGGTTTTCTTAATTTCAAATTCTAGAAATTAATTTACAAAGTTATGTAGCTGCTATAGTAAATAACTTAGCGAAATTTCTTTTTACAACTTAATTACATAAAATATAGTATACATTACATTTACATTTTTTTTTTTACATTTAGTGGAGCACTCCCTCTGACCTGTAGCATTAAATGCTACTGGCTTGAGGTACTCCTCTTTTAATTAACCCTGCTTCGCATATGCTTTGCAGGTAATATAGTATACAGTCGACCCCCTATAACACTGTTGATTATTCCGTTTTATATAAAATCCATGTTGTACGAGTCACTTAGATTTTACAAATACGTGAGCCGTTCACAGCCCGGCACACATATTTGTAAAATCTAAGTGACTCGTACAACATGGAATTCATATAAAAACTGAATTATCAACAGTGTTATAGAGAGAGTCGACTGTATTACTCTAAGTAGTCTATCGATATAATTGTATGTAGAAAGACTACATAGAATTAACATTTTTCTAAATCTAGATCTATTTTTAACGCCTTAATTCTCAATATTTTCCGTTCTGCGAGCTTTGAAGAGGGTTTTCCCCAGACCTGTTATGAATTCTGTCATGCTATCCTACGGGCAGAAAGGGCAATTGCCTGGGGCCACAAAACAGTCTTTTAAAACAAAATATTCCCCCGAAGAAAAATGTCTTAAGTCCTCAACACTGTACTTGGGGCCCCATAATTCAAATTTTCCTGTGCCCCATGAATCTATAACGCGCTACTGGACGGTCGATTAGTAAAGAAAATACACTATTTTTGAGGTTTCGACCAGAATTCGAACTCGAATTCCAAGTCTTTTTAGCATTAATTTAAAACCAAAAAATTAGTTTATAAAACTATGCTATTATTCTATATGATTTAAATTTGATTGTTATTAATCAACGAATGTAAGAAATAATTTTAATGAACCACTAAACACTAAATTACCTCTATTATGTTTATTTCCGTCTTGATCTACGGATTCTTCTCTAACTATCTCAGTCACACTTTGATAATCTAAAATTTTGTATTATAATAATATTATATATGTAATAAATTCTATAGTTTACACGTTGCTCTTGTTGCACCTGGCACAAGAGGTGATTATTAATTAAATAAAAAGAAACATTCATTTGAAAAATTACAAATGAAATTACCTGATTCAGAATCTTCCAATCTGTTAAAATTGAATTCAAGAAAATTTATTAATATATTTTTAGAATGATGTTTATGAATATTTAATTTTACCTTTTGTAAAAATCATCAGACAGAGAAAAAATAAACAATAACATAAAAGTAAAAAATCCTAAAGGTTTAATGTTAAACATCGTTTAATTGTACTGAACAATAATCCTTAGAGAGTTATTAAGAATTAAAACAAATTATCTGATAAATAATGGTTAAAGGAAATGCATTTGAAACTAGAAAGAAACATTTCCTTCATTAGAGTTTTCAAAAACGATAACTTATCTACAACACGGAAGGGTGTGATAAACAATATTTTAGAAATTGTATTAAAACATCATAATATATAGAAAATTCAATTGCAAAGTTTAACTGTATATTAAAATCAATATTTAAATATTTTAGCTGAACTTTACGCTTTAACCTGGTTCTACTAGTTTTTATTTATTTATTATGATTAATAATATAAAAGTTATTTTTAAAATGAAATTTAATAACAGCAAGGAACGTTATGCAATTCGTTGCTAGGTTTTTTTTATCATTAATTTCGTTCAAATCATTTACAAATGAATCACCCCATTCGTTTTCTCTAACTTCTAAATATTCTTTGGCTTTATTAATTTTTTTAGTTTTCTTTAATTACTTTAATTATATTATTTTTATTATTTGTCTTTCCTTCATTCGAAACTGCATGTTTGACTTCATGAACTTTTTTATTTCCTTTTTTTCGGTTAATATATTCATTAAAGCTGTAATCAGATTTAATAATTCTTGCCGAGTTATATTATTTAAATATATTCTTAAGAGATCTGAATTGTTTTTGTTGATTTTTCATCCCACTTCATTGAACTTTATTTTACTTGACACATGCATTCTGACAACGTATTTGAAAAATTCTCACAGAAAATTGGTTTACCTTTTCCAAACGAATTTATGACCCATTCTCAAACAATTTCTTTTTCAAAAATTCTAAACTAGAGGCGAGTGAAGATGAACTCCTTTTAGTAAAGTATACTTCATTGAATACAATGTGTTTTTTGAATTATTTTTAATGCAATCTGATTGCCTTCAAAATATAATTTTGAGCAGGTAGAATAACATGTAAAACTCTCCAAATTACTGTTTGAAATAGTTTTACTTATTGAAGAAACTTTCAAATACATGCCATTATCTAAATCCGTGGTTCCAATCTTTTTTGACTTCGTACTTCTTGACAGCCCATTTTCCTAAGTTTTATTTTGCGTGTTCATAAAACAGTGGCACCTTGGTCAATTATATAGTTCTGTATAATTATATGTAAAAAAGTTTTTTAAATCGAAAAGTGTTGAAGGAAAGACACAGATAAAAGCATCGAGTGCCGTGACGCCGTCAAAGGCCTCGATGCAAAAGCCGAATATCCTTGTCCATTCGACCACTGATGGACAAGAATATTTGGATTTTGTTTTGAGGCCTTTGGCATCGTCACGGCACTCGATGCTTTGAACATTCGTAGTTGATCGAGGGTTTGCGCTTGGCCAACAGGCTGGCCACATGGAGTTTTCTGGATTTTTTTGAGTTAGAAACACCGAAATATGGGCCAGTTTACCATAAAAGACCTCCCGTGAAGCACTCTTCCCTGGCAGATCGTCCATGTGTCGCGTGGACGATTTGCCAGGGAGTCACTTAGATTTTACAAATACGTGAGCCGTTCACAGCCCGGTACACGTATTTGTAAAATTTAAGTCACTCGTACAACATGGAATTCATATAACACGGAATCAGCTATAGTGTTATAGGGGGTCGACTGTATATAGATATGTAATCAGAGCTACTCAGAGGGTCCCTCGACTTAGGGGACCTCTTCTGTCAGCTTTTTTGAAGAAACGAAATATGTAGAATGTTTCTTTATTAATTTAATTAAAGACAGTCTTAATTTTAATTTTTTCGTTTATAAAAATAACATTAATGGGAACGGGTTGGAATGTCAAAATTCGTACAATCTGACAATGTCATCACGGCAACGCGCGACGTTTTGCCAGGGAGTCACTTAGATTTTACAAATACGTGAGCCGTTCACAGCCCGGTACACGTATTTGTAAAATTTAAGTCACTCGTACAACATGGAATTCATATAACACGGAATCAGCTATAGTGTTATAGGGGGTCTACTCGGCGGCTGGATGTCCGAGAAGTCAAGGCGGCAGCCTACCGTTCTCTTGTACCCGGGCACGAATCCGAACGAGCCGAAAAATTCCCAGGGATTTTTCGGGGGGTGGTCCGTTCGGATATGTCGGGCCCCGTCCCTCACCACCCGGCAGCTCCATTGTGGGCCTGGCCGAACCCATAATGGGCTTGCAAAAGAGGCCCTCTTAGTGCCCACAGGGAGGAGAGAGTTAAAAAAAAAACGGGTATACTGTGATTATTTGATATTAACAGTAGCAGATAATTATCCGACAATTCGGATTGGCAGTGTTCCACGAATACAGATTTGTTTGGACTAGAGGAGCTCTAAAGACTCCGGGCAATAACGTGCTTAGGCGCGCCTTAACCGTGCTTAACGATTTTGTAGGTTTTTCAATACAGTAGGATACAATTAATCAGACTGATGATGATACAGTATAGCCATACACAGCCGTCACAATGCGGGCTGCAAGTTTAAACTTCCATTGTCGAAACCTTAATCCTGTCCCTCTCCCCCGGGGGGATTTCGAAAAATTCCTTCTTAGTGTGCGTTCTCGTGACGTATTCTAACTGTGTACTAAATTTCAACTTTCAACTTCTAACTGTTTGGGCTCTGCGCTGATTATTATTATCAACTCGTCTCGATTATATACAGTAGACCCCTATAACGCATATAAAATATAATTAATAATGCATTATATGAATGCGTTATAGCATTCATATAATGCAGATTCGCATATTGCGGCGAAAAAATTGCGACCGTATTCGTATAAAGACGCTAAAAGAGACTCGTAAAATGCAGTAAAACGTCATCGCCGACTCGTGACGCAACAGGATTGGTCGAATCTGGATCAATAGTGGACGAGCAGCCGAACTACTTACACGCTATGGAGAGTTTAGGCGGATAAGTTGAGTTTACTATCGTCTGTACAATATACAGGCCTAAATTAGATACTGTAAGTCTAATACAGTACTGTAATTTTATACATTTCTTTTGAAAGAAACATTTCTTATTCAACAGCCATAAAAATTATTTCTATTAATGATGTCTCCAAAGTTCAACGAATTTTTCGCAGAAAAATAACTTATCAGAAAATGCATCCGCCATTTGGTGTGCTGCTCCGCGATGAAAACAAACTTAAGCAGTGGCGGCGACGTCGAACGGTGCACACTCGGTAAGTAATCCTACGACTTTTTGTTTATAGCATAGTTTATACGGATTATTCCCAAAAAATTATACGTGTTTTAGAACTGTTGAGTCAAATTAGTCTAGAATCGATTAATTTTATGGAAGAAAACCTTTCAAACAGCCGTAGTCCCTAAACTACACACGTGCCGGGCTGTGATTGGCTCATGTATTTGAAGATTCCTGCAACGCGAAATTCTTATAAAGCGGAACGTATCTACCGCGTTATAGGGGGTCGACTGTATATAGATATGTAATCAGAGCTACTCAGAGGGTCCCTCGACTTAGGGGACCTCTTCTGTCAGCTTTTTTGAAGAAACGAAATATGTAGAATGTTTCTTTATTAATTTAATTAAAGACAGTCTTAATTTTAATTTTTTCGTTTATAAAAATAACATTAATGGGAACGGGTTGGAATGTCAAAATTCGTACAATCTGACAATGTCATCACGGCAACGCGCGACGTACAACGACATTTTAATATAAAAAAATTTATTCCCGTAAATTCAATTTTTTAAATTAATTTATTTAAATAATATAAACATTTATATTTTTAAAATTATTTAATTAATACACGATAATAATTGAGTTAAAATCTTAAATAAAAAAAAAGTTTTAAAATGAACAGACGAACTTTCGTTTCCATAGCAACTGAGGTAACAAGTCATTTTATCGTCTGCTTCCGATATATTTGGCGCCGGTAAGTTATTTTATATTTTTAATACGTAAATAGAATCTTGCCAATTTTTAAACTATCATCGAAATTAAAAATAATAGTAAAATAAGGCCCCGCTTTGTTAAAAGTATACTTGGGTGAGGTGGTGGGGCAACTTGAAAATTTCAAATAAAATATATAGGGGAGGACGGGGCGAGTTCGTCAATTACATTTTCTTTGAAACAAAATAAAAGGAGATTCTCTTTAGAGGCTAGACAGTTGAGTTTTAATGAAGGCTTGTTGATGTGTTGTTCTTTCCGACAAGCGTAGTTGAAATATCAAATAAGTTGTCTGTTTCATTCAATTTCTTAAATTTTGCTTCCATTTATATAGAATTGGCATGTTTGTTTATAATTCCATAATAACGAAAGTTATTTTTCCTGTTAGAAGGATAAAACATTAACATATTCACGTGACCAGATCATAGTTTGGTACTTTATTCTCAGTGTTCTACTTAATGTTTCTGAGTCGTGACTATTGCGGCATCTTCGGCAGAGTTGCCGATCTTGTTCCTGTTTTGCTATGGTTTGATTTGGCCGCAAATAACAACAAGCAGAAGAAATAACTGGATCCTCATACAAAGGCACACTAGAAGCCAAGGCTAATGTTAAAAAAAATCAGGAACCTTCAGAAGGGCAATGGATTTGGAGAAATCGGATTCGAAGTTCACTAAAGGAAAAGGGTAGAAAAGTTCTAAAGAACCGGAAAATGACGATGAAAATACTTAAATTGCAATGAACAATATGGAACTACTCAGGAAAGTGGATTATGTGCTGCAAGTGTGAGCTGTGGGCTCACGTGGACTGTACTGATGTGGAAAATGAGTTGGTTCAATATGTGTATGGCAGAAACAATTTGATATTAAGCATATTTCATTTCTACTGTTTATTTGAGTTCACTAATTCATTTATATTGCTTTTAACTTGCTTTAGGATGTTTTCATTTTTATCTGTTTGATTTTTTTTGTAATTAATTTTTGTTTACATTTTCTATACTTATATATGTCTTTGAACTTGTATTTCTTTGTTTTAATAGCGAATTTTAACTTATACATTGTCAACAACACAAATTTATATACCTGCCTATCTTGCCTCATTACTGTTGCCGATGTTGCCCCTGTTATGGGGGCAACTTCGGCAATTGCTATCTTTTATAAGGTTATTATCAGGTTATTATTATGATAATTTTTATTTCCAAACTGATTTTAACCAGTTCTATAGTAAGGTAATATTCTAGTAGACAATAAACAACGCCTTTTTTCAGTTTACAGCAATATTCGTTACACAAAATTTAACTTATTCTTGTCGTGCCGAAATTGCCCCGTCATTCTTCCGTTTTTGTTAATAAAATATGACAACAGATGGCGCCACATGCGCAGTTTTAAATGTCTCCAGGAAAGTTAAGCAAAGTTGATGTATTATTTTTTTCTTCGTTTCTTTTAAATCACACGTAAAATTGACATCCTAGATACGAATTTTGTCGTAATTACCGTGTATATAATATAATGCGTGCCTTCGTTGCCGTATATTTATGGGAGAAATTTGTATGGGAAGTACAACTGGCGCCATTGTAAAAAAGGATTCTGATCTCTTGAAACGAGTGCGCGCAAGGCAACAAGTACGTAACTCGCAACAATTTGCGTTATATCGAGTAATAATGAATAAATTCCTATTTTTCGAATTAGCTAGATTTCCATATAAAACGATGGCCAACGAATTAACTGAGGAGCAGATCGCCGAATTAAGAGAGGCGTTTTCTGTGTTCGACAAAGACGGCGACGGATACGTCACCACCGAAGAGCTTGGCACCGTCATGAGATCTCTGGGCCAAAATCCCACAGATGCCGAATTGCACGACATGATCAAAGAGGTGGACATCGACGGAAGTGGCAGCATCGACTTTCCAGAGTTCCTGACTTTGATGGCCAAGAAGATGAAGGAAGCTGTCGACGAAGACGAGATCATGGAAGCCTTCAGGCTCTTCGACAAAAATGGCGACGGTTACATCGATGCAAACGAACTTCGCTCCGCCATGAAGAGTCTGGGCGAAAAGCTGACGGCCGAAGAAACCGAAGAAATGATTCGCCACGCCGACATCAATGACGATGGATTGATTAATTACGCCGAATTTGCTAGGATGATGTCCAAAAAATGAAATCCAAATACAAAAATACAATTTCTTTTGGACGGGATATTTACTTATCCTTCTAAATTTGAATAAAATTGTAATTTTCAATTATTTCACGCGTGGTTATTTTCTTTAGATCTTACGAGGGACTGTTTTTGGTTTACATTTTTATAAACTACTAGCAAAGAATACCCGGGAACTCGGGAAGAGGATCGAGTCCAAGAAAATTAGTTTGTTGGTGAACACTTACTTTCCCGGCTGTTATGTATACATAACAAGGGATAGTATGAGGGTCAAATTTGACACAATTTAGTTTTCTTTTGCAAATCTCCACGTTTTGATATGATTCCAAAAAGTCAAATAATAATAAAAAAATTCCGTAATGTGTGTTGGCATCTACTTCGCTTAATATCTTAGGATGGAGTAAAGATTAAAAAACGAAATTTGGCATGGTGGCTTGCATATGAGGGGCATTGGTTTTATTGTCTTGATGGTTAAAGGTCGAAGGGAGATAAAGGCGATCGTGTGTATCAACAGTATGGTCGGACTTTACTCATTATTAAGATTTAAACTTTACTTTTTTAAAAATAAAACTCATCCCTACCCTCAAAATTAAGCTTTTTACCATTTTATAGTAATTAAAAATATCAAAACTTTTTATAACAAAATTTCATAATAGATGGCACCACACACAATTATATTATATTGTAATTAGAATTATAAAAGTTATTTTCCAAATAAGATCTCAAAATAGCCAGGAACGTTACGTAATTCATTGCTGGATATTTTCATTTTTAAATTGTTCTTTAAAGAAATTTGTTAGAAATGCAAATCTTAGCAGGAAAAAAAGGAACATGAATTGCACGCACAAGTTCTAAATTCATTTTGTGCAATTTTCAAACAATTTCTCAAATTTGGATGATTTTTTTATAGTATGTTCAGTGATGGTTTTAATGGTTATGCGAGAACACAGACAAGCGTGTGAATTTGCAAGATCCCCTTTATATAACGTAAACTTTTGAGTATTGCATATACAGTAGACCCCCCTATAACGCTTAGATACGTTCCACGCTAACCGAAAATTACGTTGTAGGAATGATTAAATACATGAGCCAATCGCAGCCCGATAGGTGGGAACTTTACGGACTAAGGCTGTTCGAAAAGTTTTCTTCTATAAAATTAACCGATTCTAGACTAATTCCACTCAACATTTCCAAAACACGTATAATTTTTTGGGAATAATCCGTATAAACTATGCTATAAACAAAAAATTATAGGATTACTTACCGAGTGTGTACCGTTCGACTACGCCCGTTGTTCAAAGCTTGTCTTCGTCGCGGAACAGCACACGAAACGGCGGCCGCGATTTCTGATAACGAATTTTTCGCAGAAAAATAACTTGACCTTTGGAGACATCATTAATATAAATAATTTTTATGGCCGTTGAATAAGAAGTGTTTCTTTCACAAGAAATGTATAAAATTAGTGCTGTATTAGACTTACGGTACCTAATTTACATACTGTGCAGACGATAATAAACTCAACTTACTAGCCTAAAATCTCCGTAGCGTGTTGCCAGGCGGCAGAAAGCATATATATAATTATAATAAACTTACAATAAATTAAGTTAATATATAATTATATATACAGTAGCTAATTTATATATAATTAATATATAATTATATGTACAGTACCTAATTTATATATAATTTATATATAATACTAAACAGACGATAGCAAACTCAATTTAGCCGCTCCGAAGCGTGGCGCAGGGTCGGAGGAAAGTAGTTCGGCTGCTCATCCACTATTGGTCCAGACTCTATCAATCTTGTCGCGAAACGACGTTATAGGAGGTACGTTATGCGAAAGTTGCTACAATTTTTTCGCTACGTTATAGGAATTTCCGTTATAGGGGGGTCGACTGTATTTAATACTCGACACAGTGTAGGATACGGAACCCCTACTGAATTAAAACCGAATACTGACAGATACTGTATTTGTGTATCTGAAATCTCTAAAAGCACAGGGTCCTAGACAAAAGCCTATTTTGCGTACGCCTAAAACCAAACACTGGGCATATTAATTTCTGCACTAAATATTTAAGAGAATTTTTGAAATACTGTACTGTATTTAGCAAATCTACAACTTGTATTTGTACTGTTCAAGAAATCTACAACCATACTTTGTATGCTTGTAGACTTACAGTAGGTATTACCCATAATTTTCAAATTGCAGACCTGTACCTTCCCACTGTCGTCCTTCGGTAATCTCGAGAAAGGGTTTAGATAATTTGTATAACTCTATTGTTATCGGGAGAAGCATGATGTATAGGGACAAGACACTACTAAAATCGAGACCAGATGTGGAAGGCTTAGTTTAAATTACAAAATTAAAAATTGCAGTTCAGCATTATTTTTTAATTTTGCACTTTATGTAAAACGAATCACCGTATTTTGCCGCGTGTAATGCTCACGTTTTAACCCAAACTTGTGAGGGAGAAATAAGGAGGCGCATTATACGTGGGTAGAATTCCGTATCTATGTTTTTAATTCTTTTATTTATGCTCACGAGTTTAAAAAGTAACTCTAGTATCGAAGAAAGTTCTTGGCCTTCTATGAGGAGTAAATATCGTAAATTTCTTACCGTTACAGAAAATTTCATGTACCAAAAGTCAAAACATAAATACGGTACTAAAATTCCTTTATACAGTAATACATTTAGATAGTTGATTTTTTGTAAGTAAAATTTTTTTCCTGAAAGTTTGAGCCAAAAACGTAGGTGCAAATACACGGCAACGTAATCCGAAGAGTAAAGAGCTTTATTGTCTAACTATGTACAGAACATAGCGAAACAATAAAAAGTGCTGTACAGGTACCAGTACATAGCTATGTGCAACTATGTACAGCTTCTCCAAATATATTCAGAGTTGGATTTGATTTTTTGTGTCTTTCACGTTTTCTCAACGAAACTCGTAAAACAAACATTAGGCACCGTAATTAATAAAAGTCCATTCGTTAAATACCAAGACAAATATTTATTGGGAGCTTTTGTTATCAACAGGGTACACTGGCAGTGTACATTGTCATGGCAAGTAGCAAAATATGATGTACTCTCGTACTGGGTCCCTGCTGATTTATTTATTCGATTCGATAAAGAAAACAATAGATGAGAGATTAAACTTTTTTTTACCACATCGAATCGTCTTATAAAATAATACAAAATAAAAAATTACAATATTTAACAAAGAAATTCTAACGGTTAATTAAATTTCGTATGATAAAACGATCGCTTATCATTTTATACAAAATAACACAATACTGTTCGTATAAATGCTGTACAATTGATATTTTCCGGTAGCTTGATTCTCCCAAATACCAAATTGTTTTCGGTCGATATTCTACGAGATGATCGGTTTATACATATTTTGCATTACAAAGTTTGATTTACATGAAAATTAAGGAACCATCGACTGGGAAGACAACAGTGGCTTTTGTTATTCCTTCGATTTGCATTGTCCTGATTGAAATCGCATACAAAGAATAAGAAAAAAAATCACACTAAATTGCTCAGATCTTCAACAAAGTATGTAAATAAAATAGCGTTTTCCCCCGTTTTTTATGTATACACCTAATTTCTAACATCAAAAATACCGTGTGGATCCTTTCGTGATACAACTTTCAAAGTCATGTACAAAATAACGGCAAAACGTAATGTTAAAAATGCATAGTTCGAGACATGCCATACAGAGAATTACACGCAACGAATGAAAAATTTAACGTCCCTCTTTACTTCTTAAAATCGTATGTAGCAAAATAGTTCTTATAAATAATAATTAAGGCAACATTTCTCCACGTCCTGCCAGTATATATATATATATATAATTTTTTTTTTTTTGGTACCGGTCACGTGCAACGTAACGTCGGCACAACAAATTGGTCTTAAAGCACTAAAATGGCGTGTAACACAGACTTACTTGCGAAATCAATGGGACACGGTGCCTACCTGAGACACATCATTCTGCAGACGAGACATATACTTGCAACCTATCCTACGTAAATGGAGACGATTGTGCTTCAGAAAGAGCTACAGCAATTGTTTTTTTTTTGCCATAACACAGAAGTGTAAACAATGCACAGAAACGTACCAAAGACAAACGGGACGTATAACAAAAAAACAAAACTGATAAATTAAAGCATCACAAAAACTTATGCAATTGCCACTGTGTAAACTTTGTGACACTAAACGCTTGCCAATGGTTTAAGTAAAGAGAAAAAGGTGTGTGCTTCTAGTACATATAAAGGAATAATAAAACAACACAACCACAATACTTTACGACTGTCTTTACGTCGAAGATATACAGTGAATAGCAAAAATATTTATGAAATAAGCAACCTCATAGCATTAAAAACTTAAAATATTTTCTCTGTTGCTATTTTATCAATTGTCCAATATAAAAATATGTATAAAAAACAAACATCTAAATGAACAAATTTATAAAAATACAACTTTTTTTTTCATTTTATAATAGTGAATTCTAAATAAAGTAGACCTAAATAATGTGATCAACACATTTATCTATATCAACAATTAGCATTGCTATAATTAATGTAGCGTTTCAACTATTGGAGAAAGAGGACCCCGCTTTAATGCATTCGAAAGTCAACTCCGACTTCATCGGAATTCATTTTGATCATCGGCGATTCAAATCATCACTTAAGCAATTATTTATCTGCACCATTTAAATTGAAAATTAATAATAATTATAATCACAGTACACGCAGGATCAACCTTTGCCTGTCGTAACAAATGTTTTTTTATTAGTAGTCGTCATACTGTGTGTTCGTCGTACCGCAACTGCATGAAAGTTTCGATACGTACAAAATGATTTTTTATAATAAAAAAGATATAATTTAAGATGATAAATAGAAAGTCTCGTATAAAAGTTTTTTTCCTCGTTAGAAATTTGTGATTAAATTTCACTTTGCTTTGTACTTTGTATCGTCAGAAGGTACGGGCATGTATAGTGTGTGTGTGTGTGGGTCTAGTCTGTGAAATTGTACTTTTAATGTCAGTGGTCCAAATGCCGATCCTTTTACATTCTAAATGCTTAAAGTATGCTTTAAAAATATTTAAAAGAGTCTACTTCAAAGAATCACCATACTTAAATAATATTAGTACAAACAAAAATTTCTTAGTTTTTCCATCAGGATGCTTAATTAAGATGATCAATCTGTGATATTACCATAGCTGCCATTAAAATTAGTTACAAGGAATGAAAAAATGTGCAGCTATTTTAATGGTAAGTTTTTTGAAAATTTCCATTAACAGATTAATGTTTAAAAATAAAAGAAAAATGGAATGAGATTTATGCCAAACTTAGCAATTTCTTACGCATTCTCATGGAAAATCTAAAATAAATTATTCATATTTTTATCGTTTTAATATATAATATATATATGTATATGTAAATATATATATATTTTTTATATAAATTTTTCTTTTAAACATTTGTCTCAGTATCTTACCACCGTTCGTAGATACTGCGCAAATGTAATTGAAAATAGGAGGAGGATTTAAAAATAACATAACAAAATACGGAATGTGAACGTAGGCAAAGTTTAAACATATTAATGAGCATGTCATGTTACTAGTTCAATTTCTTTGGCAGTCGACTTTTAAACATATTAATCTATGGAACCAAAAATTAATTAAGACCTTATGACAACGAGAACCGACTGAAAATGATCAATACGAATGAAATGTCTAAACTGTCATTAGTGGACAACTAGAAATCATACAAAAGTAGCTAAGGCTGATGGAGATGTCGGTTCTTCTTTCTTCTTTTTTGCACCGTATTGACCTATGAAAGAACCGTCTTCTCCAAACTGTCCTGTTTCTCCCTCGCCGTAGTCTGCCATACTATCCGTATCACTTTCCGCACCTTTTAAACTACTGCTTAACGACATTCTACTTCCCCTAGGAATATTTTGGTTGTCTATCCTTCTGAAATATAAAAAAATTTATCATTAAAATTAAATTTTAAAGAAACTAATTTGCAAAATTTACTCTTTACCTAAAAATCTAAAAGATTGTTTTGTACTTATTTTGTCTACTTACGGTTTAGTGTATTCATTAAAACCTCCATCGTCTGGATAATCAAGATCGTGTCCTTGAGCAGCTTCCTTTTCGTGAACAGAATACTTTCCTCCTCTGTTTCTTTTTATGAGACACACAATAATTAAGAGTAATAGTAACAAAGCAATGGCACACATCATTCCGATAAACCATGCAGCGGTTGCCACATTATCAGCAGAATCGGGAGCTGCAATAGCTAAATGAAAAAAGTCACATGGTGTAGTTATTAATTTAGTAACCTACATCTTTTTGGACAACTTTTATACTTACTTAAGTCACCCGTATCAATTTCCTCTATTTTACTAGGTACGTGATAGGTACCGTCGACAGACACCACCCTCATTTCATACAAAGTGCCTAACTCTAGACCTCTAACAACAGTAGTATCCTTAATTTCTTCGGGTGGTGTGCTTTCCCATTGATTTTCTCCTAAAATGAAATACATTTTTGTAATTTATTTAAGCATGCTTTAAAGCCTAAAACATAAAACATTTCTATAAAAACAAAGTAAGACAATAAAATTTAAAAATAAAAACCACTCAAAATAGCATAAATCTATATAAAAGGCATAATCGCACTTAGGATGATCTTTGGTAAATATTTATTTTTTTTTTATTATTATTTATTAAATACACAGAAATTTGTATACGTCAATTTCGTTTATAGCATGTTACATTTTAATTTTTTACATAACCGTTTATTTGAAATTCGATTGCGTAATTTTTCGAATTCCCGTTTTGAATTAGAGAAATAACTAATGATGAACGCTTAATGAGTTTGAAAACGTTTTTATGTTATTAAAGAATTATGCTGGATAGTTGAATGGTTTTTATTTTTAAATTTTATTGAATTCTCCAGTAAGCAAGTATACAATTATTTATCAAAGTAAAACAAACGTATAATGGTAAAACATTGATATGTTCATTGTGTCCTCAATGAGATATAGTACTTATATTGTTTATGATAACATAACACAAGAAAAAAAACAATTTGCTACTATCTGATAGGCTAGAAAGTTTAATGGGTCTAATGGATATATTAAACATTTTTTAGACTATAGTCAAACAGAGAACAATTTGTTGTTCTCTGTTCAATCTAATATTGAATTTAGCATTTTAGATTATCTAAAATGCTAATTCCCATAAATCAGCAGTTTCCAAAGTGGCTCCCTCATACGGGTGCCACAAAATATAAAGTTTTCATAATTTTACTTCTACTTTCAATTCAATACGATAAGATGCAACATCTAGCAGAGCTGCTGCAAATCATTAATTTGGTAATAAAGATGGCACATAGAATCACAAAATAACTCATTCTACTGGCTGCTGTAGATATGGTAAACATTATGATTGGCGAGTTTGCTGGGAAACAGCTTTCAAAAGTGCATTTGTCCAATAACACCATCAGTCGCAGAATACAGCACATAGTGAAGAACCTCCAATGTTCGGTTAATTGAAAAAATAAAAGGGAAGAAATTTGGGTTGCAGCTGGATGAGGACATAGATAATAATAATGATGATGCTCACTTGATTTGCTATGTACAGTTTATAGATAGTAATAACATTGTAAAAGACTTTCTCTTTTGTAAAAGTATCACTGCTGGTGCTAAGGCTCACAACATGTTTAAGATCCTTGATATTTTTATATCTGAAAATAATTTGGAGTGGATCAAATTCATTGGTATCTGTACTGATGGTGCTTGTTCTATGTCCGGCTGTTATGGAGGATTGCAAGCACATTTTTTAAGCAAAGATCCTGATGCACTGTGGACCCATTGTGTTATTCACAAGGAAGCAAAATATCTGAGTCCTACATTGAACCAGGCCTTAGAATATGTAGTAAACTTTATAAAAACTCAACCATTAAAAACAAAATTTTTCAAAAAACTATGGTAAGATATAAGATCTAAGCACACATCTTTATTCAAGAAAGTACAAAACATTATCATGAGAGAGCAATGGCTCTCTCAAACTAATGTTTTGTCTCATATGTTTGAACTGCGACAGGAAATTTATATTTTTCTTAAAGAGGAAGACCACAAGTATGCCAAAAACAGCTTATCACCTGGTTTGAAAAATATTTTCAAAATGATAATATCAATAAAATTTGCATGGATTCAAGATCCATTTAATGCCAGTGCTTCATCAGGAAGAATAGAATCTTATTGAGTTGTTTTGTGACAATATGTTAAAAACAAAATTTAGCAGCATGAAATTAACTGAATTTTGCATATCAGTAAAAGATGAATATCCCTTCTCAGTGGTATAGCCAGAGAATCTTACTTTCATTCGCAAATTCTTATTTGTGCAAAGCTGAGTTTGTCGCTGTGATAAAAACTAAGCACTGCACGAAAATCAATATGGAGAAGGAAATGAGGGTGTGGCTGTGTCCACTTTGATTCTAAGGTTTGAGAAAATGTGCAGTGATCAACAGGCTCATCCATCCCACTAATTATAATTAATTGAATTTGTTCAATTACATTTTTTGTTACCTTAAATATGTGTTTTATTTATTTTTTACTTAACATCCTAACTCTTTAATTAAAAAGATATTGGCTATTTCGCAAATTGTACTTGTTAGAATTTGACATAGGGTGCATGACCTTGCGAAAATCTGAATTTAGCAAGGGCACACTAAGAATCAGAAAAGTTTGGGAACCACTGCCATAAATCATAATAATAAAGCATTTAATTTAATAAATCAATTAGACTCCTTAAACTTTTTAGCACATTTGACAGTTTGTTTATTTTGTCAAATGGAGTCAACTAGCAATGGAGATCTATTGTTCATTATAATACATTTCAAATTTATGTAAAAATAATTAAGGATCCATTCATTAATTCTTTTTACATAAATCTTGCAGGTCAGCAATATCAAAATCACACTTTAATGACAATCTTCTCACAGATTTAGTTTTTGGAATGATGTATAACTGAAATTTTAAGGACAGCAGAGTGCTTCATCTGTCGTATAAACACTTGTAAAATTACTTTTTTTGTTGACATCTGTTTAATCACTCTGCAGTGATTGATAAATATACCTGTCAAGGGTGATCACGTGGCACTGGAGAACGTCGTCGATATCCGCAAAAAATTTTAGCCAAAAATTACCACCAGAAAAAAAAATTCACATAAAAAGGAATTATGTGACAATAAAGAAAGATTTTTTCTTTACTAGTTGTAACCGTTTAAAATTTTTTTCCGAAATGGAAATGAGAAAAACGCATGGGAAAATTCTTTAAAAATTTCCCACGTTTATTCTCCACTACATCATGATAGTGCCATATCTGACTAACCCTCTTTACAAAGGTTAAATAAGTTGCAGTTTGTGCTTTTTACAAAATAAAAATTCCACTTTGTGTAAATTTCACAAGAGTGTCAGGACAGTTAAGAAAAATACAATGATTTTGTGTACAGACTTATTGTCACAGATAAAACTTTGATCCACCACTACACATTAGAAACAAAGGCAGAGTCAAAACATAACCTGGATGTTTAGCACCAAAGAAGAAAAAGACAGTTCCATTTTCATTGGTTATTCCAATGGTTTTCTGGGATGCTAAAGAAATTACATTAATAGATTACCTTCCAAAGCATAAAGCAATAACAGGAGAGTACTAGTCTAACCTTTTTGATCAATTATAAAAATCTGTTTGAGAAACGAGACTTGAATTAGCAGAGAAAAAGACATAAGATATCTTTCATCAAGACAATGTACCTGCTCACAGAAATGTCTTTGCAATCAGAAAAATCAATGAAGACATACAATTTGCAGACAATGCAACTTATTCATCTCATTTAACTTCATCCAATTTCTATTTATTGTCAAACCTGAAAAAATTTATTTCCGGAAAGAAATTTCCATAAAATGAAGCAGCGATAGTAATAGACTGTTATTTTGCAAGATTCAAACTTCAGAGATGACATAATGGCTTTGGACCACCATTGGACAAAATACAGAAGTGGACAGCACACCGACCATTTAATAGGAGAAACTTTTATCATACAGGCGTTAAATTACAAATAAATGTCGTTAGACTGACAAGTACTTACGACGATAATTATTTTCATCTTCATCAGGTCATTAAAAACGGTTAAATTCCTTTTTTTATTACAAATAACTGGCCGTTCCAAGCGTATTAATGTTTTGGAATGGAAGCAACAGTAGAACATAAGATAATTTTTAAATAAAAATACGCGCGGTTATAATGCGCATGTGCTATGCGCCTCCAAATTGTGGAGCTGGATACGTTGTTTTAGATAGTTATACAAATTGATCCACAAAGGGGGCAAATTAAGTGTGGGGGTGTTGCAGGGATTTAATATGTTGGTAAGGAGGGCCTCCCAAACATATACAATATTTCTGTTATTGCAATGTCTTATTACGGCCACCTCGTCCCACAACGGGGTATGTTGGTGCTGTAACATCATTCTAGCAAGCTCAGTTTCATTCTTGCTTTCCCTGATAGAATACTGATGTTCTGAAATACGACATGACAACATTCTAGTTGTTGCGCCAATATAATGGGTGCAACCTCCCGACATATTTTCTAATGGGATAGAATAAACCCCCGATCTTTCAAGAATGGAAGTAGGATCCCTGTCATTGGACAGCAACCTCCTGAGATTTGGTCGTGGAAAAACTGGCAGAAAAAAACGCATGTCACCTAAAAATACAGCAAATACGGAGAGTGACATGACCACAAAATAGTATCGCGGGAAGGACTATTGTGGATTCTTTTGGGAGATGCAGTGTAGTAGCAGGAAAAAGCAATCTTTTTACATTATTTAAGATGTAGATAAATTTGGCATTATTGTAGCCTGCCTCATTTACTGCACAGCAAATGATATTAAGTTCAGTATCGATAGCAGCTTGACTGGAAGATAAAAGAAAGGTGCTTCTAATTAAAGCTGCGATTACTGCATTGATGAAATGTTGTGGCTGGTATGCTGTTGCAGGGATCAAGGGAGGTACACCGCTGAACTTGTGGAATATGGAATACATTATGGTATCCGAGATTTAACAGTTTTTAGATCCAAGAATGCAATCTCATTTTCTTTGCCTTTTTCCCAGGTAAAATTAATTGTGGGATAAGTGGTCGCGAGACAATCTTTGAAGGCAAGGAAATCTTCACTTATGTGGTTTCCTCACAACCAAATCTTAGGAGGTTGCTGTCCAATGACAGGGATCCTACTTCCATTCTTGAAAGATCGGGGGTTTATTCTATCCCATTAGAAAATATGTCGGGAGGTTGCACCCATTATATTGGCGCAACAACTAGAATGTTGTCATGTCGTATTTCAGAACATCAGTATTCTATCAGGGAAAGCAAGAATGAAACTGAGCTTGCTAGAATGATGTTACAGCACCAACATACCCCGTTGTGGGACGAGGTGGCCGTAATAAGACATTGCAATAACAGAAATATTGTATATGTTTGGGAGGCCCTCCTTACCAACATATTAAATCCCTGCAACACCCCCACACTTAATTTGCCCCCTTTGTGGATCAATTTGTATAACTATCTAAAACAACGTATCCAGCTCCACAATTTGGAGGCGCATAGCACATGCGCATTATAACCGCGCGTATTTTTATTTAAAAATTATCTTATGTTCTACTGTTGCTTCCATTCCAAAACATTAATACGCTTGGAATGGCCAGTTATTTGTAATAAAAAAGGAATTTAACCGTTTTTAATGACCTGATGAAGACAAAAATAATTATCGTTGAAAGCACTTGTCAGTCTAGCGACATTTATTTGTAATTTAACGCCTGTATGATAAATGTTTCTCCCAATGGACAAAATATATTGATATTAAAAAAGATTATATTTTTCTGAAATTACTTTTAATATAAACTGTTTTATATTTCTTTCTGAGTAGTTTTCCTCATATTTGTGATCCAATTAAGATCAATGTCATTCTGTAAATAAGCTGTTCTTGTTAAAGTGAAGAGATAAACATAGCTCTTGTAATAAAGTAGCTTTGTTCTTTACTCCAAAGAGACTATTTCTCATATCTTAATCATCAAACACAATTTGATACTGACATGAATTAATAGAAAAACATTAAACATTTTCCTACATTTTTCAGCAATGTGTTCATGGGACATGAAATATAAGTATGAGGATAACCGGGGGTAAAGAGTTATAACTAAACTCTTTATTGCTTAATCTGCAATCAAGTCTGTAGGACTTTCCCACAGGGTTGAAAGTTAGAGAAGGTGTGGAGACAAAATGATCGTATAACCGTCATCTCCTGTCAGGCTCCTGACACCAGATAGGAAAAATACTTGTGCCCTATCACACATTTATGTGAAGTTTAAAAAATAGGAGGCCATTCGATAGCAAGTGGAGAGAGTCACGGGTAAGTCCAACTCATAGCGAGTGAATGGTCTGAACTTAGTAAATAAATGGAATCATAAGTAAACATAACAATTAACATTTAATAGATACAATATACTATATATATTGCTCCAAATCAAATACAAGTTAGCATAATTGAACTTAACTCTAATACGCCTCTATTCTTAGATGTATTATTATGCCGAGCGTATATAGCTAATCTTAAATGAGAAAGTAACAATTTCTATCCTATCCTCATGAGAGAGAGTGTTTACAAGTATAATATAAATCGTACTATCTTACAATGTAAATTGGTCAGTAATCTTCTTCTGTAGCAGGAGGAGTACTGTCTTCTTTATGTAGGCACACAAAGTTAAAATATGTCAAAGGAGACCATTTTGAATGAAGTTATGCATCTTGTATGGCAAGTCGTAATTTTCAAGGACTGTCTGCTGTCTATGTGGCAATGTCGGATTTCTATCAACTGCCTTCTGTGGTATTGATACATTTGTATTATGGAGGACTGCCCTGAATGGCAGGAAAATCGCCCTTTCTATAGTACAATTTGACCAATAGCATAAAAGGGAATCGCTGTTTCTACGGGATGTTTGATGAGTGCAAAGAGGGTAAACAGACATATGGTCATCTGAATTACAGATAAGGCTGTGTAGGAAAAAGAAGTTGATTTTCCTTTTCTCCAAAAACGATGAATGTAACTTCCCTTTTTGTAAACAATATGTAGAGAAATAATATATTTTCTTATACTGATTAACCTAATAAATCCCAATTTTCACATAAACAGAGAAAAATCCCTAATGCTAGATAAAATGGAGAATTTGTCTAACATTTATCAAGTGTCTGCCAAGATAATTTGCTAGTCTATCTACATTCCAAGTTTAGTTGTTAGATTTAATTTTAATATAAAGAATACACACCTATCTAATAAATGATCATCAGAAAGCTATAAATTAAAATAGATGAAATATTAAAACAACTATAAATCACACTACCAATACAATTTGACAATAAAGCAATGAAGTTTATTGCCAAGTAAGTTCCATTAAGCCAAAGATTTGTTAAAATTTTAGTAAATCTGATGAATAAATAATTCATAAAATTTATGTCAGAAACCAGGAGAGATGAGTGTTCCTTCATGTATTTTTATGGATTCAGTAACTAATAGTTTTTATTCTTGAAATGCAATTTACTAATATTGTAATTATAAACATCTCAGAAGTTAAAGATTTAATCAATACTTACTTTTGAATATTGTCTAAACACATTAAACAAACAGTTACTACTTTAGAATAATGATTAAAGCTTACCTTTTCTTCTATATTGTACATAAAAATGGCTTCCAGGCCTTCCTTCTACTGCTGGCATCCAAGTGACAAGAACACCTGCTTTACCTTCTTCATCTGGTAAATTATACCACTTAAAATTTGGTGCATCAGGAGCTAAAAGTATTGAATGTCATTTTTTAATTCCAACTATCTCTCTCATCACCCAGTCACTTATATTATGAGCTTAGCTGCTCTGAAATTGTGTTTTATTGGCTGAACAATATTCATGCAAAGCATTATATAATTAGCAGCATTAAAATTTATACAAGGTGTCTGATAAGTTATTGTGCAGTGAAAAATTTGTAATAACATTAAAACCGTGTGTACAATATTTCGTACAAAACCTGCAAATTGTATGCAATGCTGTAATGACAAATTACAGGTCTCATACGCAAAACAATACATATCACTTTAATTTCATTATGAATTTCTCACTGCACAGCAAACTTTCAGACATACTGTAATATATATAATGTTTTCAAAATACATATTAAACATCTAAGTACAGTAGAGCATCGATTATCTGAAACAATTCAGGACTGGGTTATTTGGATAACTGATCATGTACGAAGAAATATATTAACCTATCCCATGTTGAAATTTTTCTCTGTTAAATGTTGTTTTGCGTTGAATTTTTGTCTATGTTAAGCCTAATGAAATTTTTTTTTAAAATAATAATCATGGCTAATGTATCTTTATAAATCATTTCTTTATTTTGCACAAACAAAATAAATATATTGAAAAAATAAAAACAGAGAAAATTATATTTTGGAAGTTAATCTAGTATCAAAAACATTCCGATTCAGCACAACACACAGTCCTCAGAAAAACACCACACATAACAAGCAAAACTCGCCCTCACGATGGGAAAAAAAGCCTCGTTCAAATACTGGCATGTCCTTAAGTACCCTCTCATGGTCATGCAAGTGCTGCCAGCTAAAACACGCAAGCCAACAAAAATAATATTCGAGTAGCACAAGACATAGCCAATATTGCAGTGCCACAGCACTAATGCAAATTCAAATTTGCCGACTGGAACACTTTCAGTTAACTGATGTTTTGGTTGATCGGTATTCGGATAATCGATGCTCTACTATATTCAAGAATTTAATTTTACTTTCAAAAGTTTTAACTTCAGTATTAATTATGAAAGAAAAAGTATTTATAAGACTAAATTATTTAAAAGAAGATTTTGGTTCTTTACTAAAGTGTTTCAGCATAAGAAAAATAATAAATTTAGTAATAATTAATCTTATGTCAAGTTAATAGTCTATACCAGTGATTCTCAACCACTGCCCATACCCATACATAAGTGATGCTAGACAAGTAGTTCAATCAGTTCTACTTTCCTAGGGCACGTTTGGAAATTGTAACCTTGGCAACTGGTGATAGTTACCAAGGCATTTAGAAAATGTGACCTAAATAACCAACCGCATTTAAAAATTACTGTTGACATCACCAGTTGTCCTGCAATACTTATCAAAGTGCCTCAAATTTTAATTATTAAAAGTGTACCGTGATGAAAAAAAAAGGTTGAAAAAAGAATCACTGGTCTATACACTGATGTAAATTAGTAAAGGCGGCCAATTTGAAGACTAATTTTTTAAAGCACTACATTGAGCATGCGCATATCTTCAAGATGTGCAATTTTTACATTTTTGGAATGGGTGTTCTCTTACAAGCATTCCAATGCATGGAAACCTGATGATGACCGTTAAAAACAGAAGAAAACTTTCATTTTGAAAAGAATTATTGCTGGTTTTAGGTAATTACTTATTTATTTAGTAAATTAGTAAATTTTTACTATTCCAAGATGACTAATATTATGAAAAAGTGAATAAAAATATTGGTTTTATCATCTTGAGATATTCGAAGTAAAAAAATTTTCTTATGACAATTAGATTGAATAAAAGTTTACTGACATATTTGATAACACCAACTTCACATAAAAGAATACAATGTATACTTTATTGTATGCCATTTACTTGTACTTTTTCTTTTATCTATTCAATAATAATAATAAATTGGTCTTATCAAACATAAACTTACTTTCATTATATATATGGTATTTTATGGCTTATTTTTAGACATACTGATTATGGTTAAAATAAATGACTATACATAATTTACTTACGGATATCCGATTCTTTATTTGTTTTAAGTTCAATGAAATAAGGCATTCCTTGTCCTACTTTTGTAGTTGCATAGATAGTTATTCTGTATTTTGTATTTGGTTTGAGCCCAGCTAATTTCGCTCTCGTTTCTATTGGCATAGTGATAGGAGGTTTTCGCTCTATTTTTGGACCTAGAGCAGTTCCATGTACTGAAAAATATAGAAATTTGTTTAATATTTTCATTTACCAGAATATTTAATTTCAAATTAAGTATATTAACAGAAAAAGTCAAAATCTCAAAAGGTCAAATATATTGAGCCCTATGACACGTCAAAGTTCAGTCCTCAATGCCTTATAGAAAATCAAGACATCTTTACAGTCAATTAACTTAAACAAGTCTGTTTCTAAAAAGTATTAATTTGCTTTACATTATTTTAAATTTAAATTACATTTTCCTTTTGTCTTACAATAAATTTTTCTTAAATAATATTTTTAAAACTAATGAAATTCTCATAAATTATTATTATAAAGTGCAGAATGCACTACTAAAAGCTTAACAATTAATTAATATTTCAAAAATTTTACTAAAATTCTTTAAAATTATTATTTATAAGGTAAACATTCTGTTATATTTTTGTTTTAAACTCTTCTGCAAAGTATATATAATGATTATAGAAGATCAATTGTGAACCTAAAAATATTTTACAGCATTAAAAATTAATCACTGCAGTGAAAGAAATGTTTTAAAATATATTTAAACAGTATAACTATTTACTTTCTCTGAATAAACATTTAATTTCAGTATAAATTTGTTAATGTGGCATCTATGAAACCAGAGTGGTGCAGGACTATCATATCTTTTTTGCTTTTGCAAAGTTCAATAAGAGATACGAGATCTGAACATTGCAGACATTGCTATACATTTTGTACCAATGCATGCAGCCATAAGCTTCCACCTCTCACTCTCTAATCACTCTGATGATGATTGGATGCATAACTGTATGATGTTAAGATTGGTTAAAAAACCTTTAAAATGTTAATGAACACATTATTGTTTTAGCATACCACTAGTATTTCTAAACTGACAGTTAATAGTCTTGCCAAGAAATGACCCAATTTTATAATTTTCAAGATAAAATGAAAAATATTTGAACTTTTACTATACTTGGAATTAGCAAAAATACAGCTTTATAATGGTTTAAATAAAATTTTCAAAAATTTAAGAACTGAACTGTGTAATTTAAACCATATAATACTAAAGTAATATATGATATTTTCAATTATCTAAAACATACCTTCTTCATAATATATCCTATAGCCAGTTAAATTTCCATTTGGTTCTAATGGTCTTTTCCATATCAGATAAAATGCGCTTGCACCCAGTGGCACGGCATCAAAACTAGCAACTGGGCCGGGAGCTAAAATAATAATAAAAAAGTTAGGTACTGCACATTAAATTGTTTGCTAAATAATACAAATTCTGCATTTCTTAATATAAAGATACAGAACTAATACGAGGGGGCTTCAAAAAGTTCATGGAAAAAAGATAGTATGAAAAAACGATTTCAGTTATGATGTTTATTTTTCAACATGCGCTCCATTAAGGTTGATACACTTCTGCAAACGTTGATACCAGCCTTTAAGTTCGTCTGAGTAGAACTGAGGGTATTGTGATCTGAACCGTGTCAGAGAAGCTCTTTTTTTGGTACCTTTCAATGATTTTTTCAACTTTGGAAACAAAAAGAAGTCTGATGGGGCTAAATCAGGGCTGCAAGGGGGATGTCGGATGATTTTCCATCAAAATTCACGTAGCACAGCTCTTATTTGCCAAGAACCATGAGTGGGTGCATTGTCATGGTGGAAGAGGACACATTGATGAAGCTTTTCATGGTGTTTTTCCAAGATTCTATTGGACAGTTTTCTCAAAATGCTTCCACAATAAGCAGATGTAATTGTCTTCTTGTTCTCAAGGAAGTCAACTAGCAAAATCCCCTCTGCATCCCAGAAGACAGTGGCCATGACCTTTCCTCTTGAATGCTTAGATTTTACTTTGAATAGTTCACTTTCATCCCAGGGCAGCTGCTGCTTTGATTGAATTTTGTCTTTGGGATCATACTAGTAGAGCCATGTTTCATCCCCTGTCACAATTCTTCAAAGAAAAGCTTCAGAGTCCCCATCCCACTTGTCCAAAATTTCCATTGAAAGATCTGCCCTCATTTGCTGCTGATGTGGGCACAACAGCCTAAGGACCCACCTAGAAAAAAGTTTACTTAGTTCCAAACTCCACAAGAATTGTATGTGCAGAACCCACAGAGATGTTGAGTGTATCTGCTACCGATTCAGTGGTTATTTGTCTATCCTTTTCAATCAAGTCACAAACAGCATCAATGTTTTCCTCACAAACTGACACTGTTGGCCTGCCACTGTGGGGCTCATCTTCAACCTTGATTTTTCCACTTCTGAAGCAACTTACCCATTTATAGGTTGTTGACTTCTTTGGAGCATTATCACAATACAGTCGACCCCCGTATAAGATCATTGATTATTCCGTTTTATATGAATTCCACGTTGTACAAGTCACTTAAATTTTACAAATACGTGAGCCGTTTACAGCCCGGTACACGCATTTGTAAAATCTAAGTGACTCGTACAACATGGAATTCGTATAAAACGGAATAATCAATGATCTTATACGGGGGTCGACTGTAAACTTGTTCCAGAGCATCAATGATTTGCCTATTCTCCCAACCAAGTTTCACCATAAACTTTATGTTTGTTCTGGTCTCAATTTTCGTGGATTCCACGTTGCTTGAATGGTGCCCGACTTTCAACTGGTGGTGCTGTGTTCTTACTTGCATTTAAGGTTTATGTTTGAACATGTTATAACACATTGATACAAGAATGTTCAGGTGCATTGAAATTAAAATCCTACTAAACAATTTTTAGTTATGGATTTTTTCCACAAACTTTTTGAAGCCCCACATACATCAGAATCATTTAAGCCGGCATCACACTGGATCAGACACGACAGTCTTAGTCATGTTGAGACAAGAGAAAACTGCTCAAAACATAGTAAAACAATGGTGTTTCCATTATATCAAAGAGGAAGAGGACACTGCACACTGGATCAATCATCTTGTCCAAGACAGTTTTAATCACAATTAGTGATTATTAGTTAAAAAGATGATGGTAGCTTGTGCTTCATCATGTCTGATATGTGTATCAGACAGACTGTTGTGTGCATGCTCAGACCATCACAAACCAACCAGAGTAAGTGCAAAAGTAGTGATAAAAGCAATTTTTTCAGATATTGTTCATAATTCATTATTTCTGCTTTTCATGTAACAAATTTTTAAAAATTAAAATAAAATCTATGAAAAGAAATTTATAACGTTAAAATGTAAAAAAATTACAATAAATAATTCTTGCCTTATCTGAGAGTTATTAAAAGTCTTTCCAAATTTTTTGAAGTTTTTCCCAACTTACTTCAAAATGTGGTCAAATGTCTTTGGCTTCAGTCTGGTAAAGTTGTGAAATTTCAATACTAGCTTGGAGCAACATTCACTAACAAAGGGACTAGTTTATTTATAACTTAAAACCTCATTGCTCAATTCCAGTGAAGATGAGACTAATTGATGAAATTAAGATGAAATATTCTCGAATCAGTTTTTGTTCTCAAAGTACATTTTAATGGTTTAATTTTGTTTTACATCATATTTAGTAAAGTAAATCTCTTTTTAGACAGAAAAACCCATCCTGCCTAATGCTGAATCTTGAAAAGTAGGAGTTATTTTCTACTTTATCCAGAGTCCTGGATGTCACATTGTTGGTAAATATACTAACTCTGTAATGGCTTTACATTTAAGCATTCGCCATCTAAGGGATGAAACCATTCTCTGATTGAAAATTTTTCCACCGGAGATTGTGGCAGGCTATCATAAAACCTGTTTTGTATACAATACGGAATTTTCTAAGATAACATGTGATATCCTCAGATGGTCTATTCTGCTTTTTTTAGATGACTTTTTACCTAGGAGATGGAACTCCTTTATGGCCTTATATATCTCAACTCTATCTACAAGCAGTTTCTTTTTCTGGTTAGAAAAGGTTTGTCTCGTAGATAGCAGTTCAATTAAAACATCAAAATGAAATCACTGGAAAGTTATTTATATACCAGCAGTAGAATCCCAAAATACTTCCAGATAATTTGGAATTGGTTCTTATATATCCTTTTTGTAAAAAGCAGAAAGATCATGCCAATTATTTTACCGATAGTTTACTTTGTACAGTTTTTAATATGTTAAAATATGATTTAGTAACATTATTATATATCTTTTTGTTTTTATTAATGTATAGCACAAGCGAAGTCATTTTTAAAATGCACTGCCATGTGATACCCAACAATTTTAATATTTATAAAAAAATAAATTATTTGTTCATATCCTTTTTTAAGTCACAACAAATGAGTAATTATTACATAAAAAAATGTAATTATTTGACTTGAAACTTTAGTCATACTATTAAAAACATTTCAGAAATCTTAATATGAAATTATATTAAAAAATGTCATTTATAACTGAAACTTACTTCCTTCTGGTGTACGAAATTGAATTACTTCTGATCGTGGTCCAGTATATCTCTCATTAAAAACAAATATAGCAACTTTATTTTCTGCATTTGGACGAAGGATACTAACAAGAGATTCATTTTTTTCGGGACCAACTATTTCTTCCCTCACGTGTTCTTCTCCTTCTTCAGGAGTCCAAGCTTGAATCTAAGATACAATAAATATTTCTTTTATAAAAAAATTTATATAAAATTTTTAAAGCAACTTATCCTTAAATATTGTTAATTTCAGATAGCAGGCCATTGAAAATTTTGTTTTATAATATATTAAAATCAAATATATTTACACATTATTAATCCTCCTTAAAAACTATACTTTCAGTTTATATGATATCTATTACACAATACATTTTTAAAAATAATTTTCATCTAAAATATTTTATATAACCACATTATTCATTTATGCAGTGCTCTTTTCCCTAATGGAACCATTAGAGTAAGTCTTTATCGATAAGATGGACATCTACACTGATGCTCAAAATAATTTTTTTTTATGAGTAAAGGTTAGTTCACACTGAGTGTGATTCACTGGTGAAAGCGAAAAACAGTGCGAATAACACGTCAGAAATTATGTCATTTTCAGCGAATTTTATCATTTCGCAAATCACTTTGAAGTTTGGAATTGTCAAGCTTTTTCGCTAGCAAAAAAATTTCACTACCAATCATACTCCCACTAGTTGTCATGTGGTTCTTGTTGTTTTCAAGATGGCTACAGAAACTTTCTCACGCAATAGAGTAAATGCTGTAATTACAGATTTTTAATATTTCTCTCACCCATCATCATTTTCTTTTTGTCTTATCACTCTTTCTCAAATAAACAAATGTGGTTAATGACAGAATAGTGGAAGCAGCCATTTTGTTTTTCAAGATGACATTTTTGCTTGCTTGCAATGATTGGCTGCTTAAAATTCGCAATTGCTTTTGGTTGTATGGATCAATTTCGCTAAGTGAATAAAAATAGCTTTTTGCATTCGCTTTTGCTATTCGCTCAGTGTGAACTAAGCTTAAGACCTGTATTTTTGTAATATCTATTTTCCTTTCATGTGTATATAAATGGCCCACCAGTGGCCAAGCGGTTCTGTTCCATGAACACTGGGAGTTTGCGCCTCACCAGGATGGGCTGGCCGCATGGCGTTTTCCAGGTTTTCTCCATGTCTGTAATGCCTGGATGGGGGCTAGTTAAACCTTAAAAAGACCTCCTGGAAGGCATTCCCCCTAGGCAGATTGCCCAAGTGTCATATTGCTGTAACTTAACTAAACAAACAAACATATATAAGCAGTCAAAACTTTTGAATTTGAATGAAAAGAAAAAAGTTCAAATAATCAAAGATGAATTATTAATTTTTTTTGAAAATTAAACTTATTTTCTGTAAGTTTATAGTGTTTGGAACTGTTCCATATTCTTTGCCACTATCATATTTTCTCTTTACTCTCTATTCCATACCTTTCATCACTTCTTTTTTTAAGTTAAACTTTTATACATTCTATGTTTATACACTGTACAAACTAAACAATTCCATAGTTGTTTAGTTTGTACAATGCATAAGAGGGATAAAAATGTCATTAAAAGTGTGAAACTTGAGACAATTTTGCTCATACCTTAGAAATTTATAGAACAGATGTATTTTAGAAAATACCCAAAACTCACAGAGGTTGACTAAAAGCTATTTCTAAGAATCATTTGCAATAAATGCAATATATATTAGCTTCAAATTATTTAAATTTATACTAAAACAACTAAAATTAACACTGATTTAAATACAAATTTTAAGAGGACTAATAGTAGGTTTGAATTATTCCCTAATTCAAATTAATCAAGCTTTAATTACTCATATTTAACAATATATACATATACACATATTACAGTTTATGCATATTAAACATGTTAAATTTGTAAGAATGTTTTTGATAGTGATCATTTTTAAAATTCATATAATTATCTTTAATTCATACTTTAATATATATTAAACAAATGGGTAAAAGTAAACTGGAAACATATAATTATTTAAATTAATATTCATAACAATATGCATTTTCTTTGAAAATGCTCTGAACATTAACATGAATATTTTAATTTAAACTCATTTTATAAAATACCGAACGTATAAAGAATTCATACAATCAATGTTTCAATATACCTTGTAGCCTTTAAAATGTCCACGAACTGTGTGTTTAGGCACATGATTCCAAGCCATCAAAGCAGATCGAGCATCCTTTACGTCCACCACGTGAAAATTTTTTGGTGCTTCTTCTGGTACTGTAAATGAAACAGTAAAGAAACACAATATAAATACATCTACTAAATAATATAATATTCAAAAGTAATTGATACTATGCAGTATCCTAATATAAAAAAGTAATTTTATGCTAAAATGCTAGGTTGGAAATTTTTTTATAAATTCTGAAATTAATCTATATTCAAAATATTTATAATTATATTTGTATGAAAAAAAAAACACATAAAAATCAAATAATTTTTACAATAAAGTTATTTTTTCATTAAATACAAACTATAAATTCCTGAAGTTTTTTATAAATCAAAATAACTTATCTATCATAATAGTTTACATCAAGAATTAATATTTTTTTTTAAAATGGACTGTAAAATTTTCTTATAACAAGCAAATGTAATTGAATATTTTATACATTTTAAAATATTTTACTTATACAGTGGAACCTTGGTATACGACCTTAATCTGTTCCTGATGTTTAGACTTATACCGAATAGGACGTATACCGAACCAACCGTTCCCATAAGAAGTAATGTAAAAATGATTAATCTGTTCTCATGAAAAGAAAAATGGCTGGCTTTAAACACCTCGCTTTCCTGCTTGACTTTTTCATGAGATCAGCGTGTATCTTTTTAGCTTTCTCGCAAATAATTGCTTCTGATATGCTGTCTCTAGCGCACTGTTTTTCAGTTATCCAAAGCAAAAACAATTTCTTAACATGATCTAATGTTTTCGATCTCTGTTTAGAAATTGATTTAACTCATTTCGCAACGTTAGCAGATTTAATAATGTCTTTATTTTTCGCGATTGTCGACATCTTCGTTCTCGGAATACGGTATGCAACAGATAAAATCTCGAACATGCATGCCACCTTCATATTTCTCAACAGTTTTCTTTTTTCAGTTCCATTGTGATTCTAGTCATTTTTTTAGTTTACTGTTGCTTTTCATTTGCCTTTTTGCAATTCATGATTAATAAAAATAATAAAATTTTACTTATAAATTAAAATCAGAAGAAATTTAACAAAGTTATAAACTGTGGCACTGCGAACGTCTAGTCTGGCCTAGTACACCGATGGTGCTACTTGTTCATAGATGGCGCGTATAATTGAATTAAGTCGTATACCGAGCAAAATTTGTTTTGTCCAAACAGGACGTATTCCGAATTGGACGTATACCGAGGTACCACTGTATAGTAAAAAATTAGTGCAAATTATTTTACCATCTTCTCCAGAATATCCAATTATTTCAGTTGGTATAACATTTGCTTGTCCTCTTTGATTGTGTGCTTCAACTTTAATTCGATACGGTTTAAATGTTGGTTGATTATATACAATAAACTGATTTTGTTTCCAATCAGTTATTTTTTCATATTCCCACGCAGCATGTTTGATATCTTCACGTTTCCAAAATACTTTGTAAAAAAATCCCGGAGCATTCTGATCAATTAGTGGCATTGGCTGAAAATAAATGAAGGATGTTTTTATATTAGAATTTTATATATATAGTTGTGGTTAAACTAAGCAATTTTATAGGAGTGTAACAAATTTAATGTCATCCAAATGTTATGTTTTAGTACTCCATACTGTTATTCATTACAAGCTAAATGAATTATTCCACATAAACAATTTTACTGTATCAAGTCAGCACATAATTATGCAACTTCCACGTGATTTGCATTTCATTCATACACTATCTAATGGGAAGAAAAGAGAATAAATCAAAAACAATGATGTGATCATCTTAGTGACATACAGTGCTGCTTAGCAGAAGAAACCTTGTTTTTTTTACACCAATTTTGAATAAATATAAACTAATGTATCAGTTAAGAAGTTAAGATCTGTATTAAAATATACACTACTTGCCATAGTATTAGCAGGAATGCGTTATCTATTTTAATCTTAATTAATAAACTGTATTAAATGTAGTTTTGTATTAAAGTAAATGTATTTAATTTAAACTACCGAATTGATTTCATCTATCGACAGTTTTTAAAACAATTTCATTTAAAAAATTTTATTCCACTGAACTATAAATCTATACTATACATCATTGTAAAACTAAAAATAACATGAGAAATATTACACATTTAAAATGCTATATCACATGATATATATATATCACACACACACACACACAGACATGTGTGTGTGTGTGTGTGTGTGTTCATAAACCAAACTCTACAAACCTGAAGTTCATATGTAATATGCCAGCAACTACTAAATTATATTGGGCTATATTATATTATAATTATATTATACTGTGATTATTGTAAATTAATTACTAAATAATTTGCCACTAGAGGAAGGCATTAGGCATCATCTCTTATTACATTTAATAATTATAATTAAATTAAATAATTTAGAAAATTCTGGAAGAAAAGAATCAGCCCAGACTGGGACTCGAACCCATAACTGCTGCTTACTGTGTGGATACGCTATTTGAGCCTCCAGTCCAAACTCCTCTTCCAGATATATTTAAACATGAGAATATATGGAATTAACTTCAATTAAAAAGTTTAAATGTTAAATTTTCACTTTTAAATAAAAGATGAATAAAGTCAACTGAATAAAGATAAAAAAAAGCCAAGTGTTTAATTAATAACACAATCTTATGTTCAACAGTCAAAAAATTATTTAGTAATTAATTTACAATAATCACAATATAATAAATAACAAGTTAAATAAATTTTCATAAACAAACATATTTAATAGCCATAACTCTAAAACTTCATCCCCAATTTAAAAAAAAAAAAAAGGAAATATAAACTGTTTTTAGATTTATATTATTAAATTGTTGTATAAACTTTTTAATTTAAATTAATTTTTATCTTACTTTGTGAATTCTATAGTTCTTAATTAATTAATTAACAACTAAATGGAAAAAATCAATTATTGAAATCAATGAAAACAAAATGAGAAAAATAAAAACACAGATGAAGAGTATATAAAAAAAACAGATTCAAATAATTATTTTGGGATAAATTAAGAATGATAAATTACAACGTAACATTTTATAAATTTCACAATATCCTAAAAGTATATAGTAATAATTAAAACAACAACAAACAACAGTAGAGAGAAAGAAAAATAACAAATTAAAAGCAGTAATTCAAACACAAATTATTTATTGTATTTATTCAGACACTTGGCCAATTTCATCACTAAATTTTATTCAGTTGATACATGTTCATCTCACTTCATGGAAGGACTACTTTGATTTTGATGAAAGACGAGTATGTAAATTCTAGTATTGTCGTTAAATCGATTTAAATGTGATAATAAATGTATGGGAGAAATTTTAAAATTGTTTAAATTTTATAACAATTCAAAATGAATAACTAGATAATAAGAAGTCGAGTGTTTTAAAGGTTCGAACCATACAAAAAATTTGTAATTTAATGGATGACAAGTAAAATGGGCAAAGGAATTTTATGGTTTTAACTTTCAATAATCTGTAATCTAAAAGTTGGCTGAAGAGGGGCAAGGAATGCCCAAAACATGTACAAATGGGATGAACATGTATCAACTAAATAAAATTTAGTGATGAAATTTGCTAAGTGTCTGAATAAATACAATAAATAATTTGTGTTTGAATTACTAAAAATTACTGGCATGGTCTCAAAAATACCAAAATTAAAAGCAATTAAAATAAGTTAAAATAAAAAAATATCCTTGAATAAGATTAGAATAATGACATCGTATGATTAATTTTTTTATTGGAAATATTTTAACAATTAAAAATATTTTTGAATGTAATATGACTTAATTCCATATATTATAGAAAAGAACTTAGTAAAAAGAATTAGATTAATTCTATAATACTAAGAGGAAGATTATCAATTGGTAAAATATATAAGACTATACAGATAATTTAAAACTGGCCATTAATTACATTACAGTAATTGAGAAGCAAAACAATTACTGTAAACTTTCAATGGCAAAAAAACAATAATTTAAATGCACAATAGAAAATATTTTAGGAAGCATTTTGTATGAGAATTGGTCCAAAAGTAAATTTTCAAGATATATTGTGATTTATGTATTTCTTATGCTAAAGAAAATGATACACACTCAAATTTATGACTTCTATTTCACACAATCTTTCTTTTGATTAAGACATTGTCACAATGCAGGATTAAATTTTCATTCTTTAAATGCTACATCCCATTTGTAGAATACATGCAACGAAAAATAATAAATACAACTGCACACTGTGCAAAATTGAAATGAGCTGTTGAAAGATGTTTTATTTTTGCATGATAACACTTGACTAAATGGTATTATCTACTTCCAGTGAAAGAAACTTGAAATACCTGGCATATAGCCAGCGTTGCCACAACGAAATTTCAAAACGTATTGAAGCTCCTTCAAAAAATGTACTATTTTCCTTCAAAATGTACTATTTCTATGGTTGGTTACTTTTAATATTAATATACCATCATACTCAATTTTTGTGCTTATTTCAAATTCATATTCATGAATACTTTATTTAATTTTAAAGTATTCATATTTAATATTTCATAAAAAGATTTTATGAAAATAGTTTCTATGGTTTTTTGTTAAATACAGCATTAAAAGTTGACTTTTTAAAAATATTATAGTGATGGATAAAAAAAAATCAAATTAAACATGTGTGGACAGATTCAAATTAAAAAAAGTTATTTCTTTTACCAAGATTATTAAAATTGAAGTTCATAATTAATAATTAAATTATTGTGGTAGAAAATAATATAAAAGTATTTATATTATTTGTACTGTACAATTTCAAAACTATTTTGTGTATTAATTCGACTCTGACTTAATGGATATTTTGATATTATTGATGACAAAAGTTTAAAATCATTGATTTCCTTATCTGTCCGATATTTCTGTTTGACAGAGTTGGATTGTTTGGACCACGTGGCGTGAAAAATTTTGTCAAGGTCCTCGTGAGAATGTGACACATGTGAAAGAGGACCGAGTCATAACATTTGCACATGCAACTATCTGCATGTTGTTGATGTCGACCAACATACACCATGTGTATGTTGTGATTGGGTAAATCAAATTAGCAAGCAGTGACACTATTGAAACTTTATTAAACTAATTTTTTGGCATTTTTTTGTTAAGGCATGAAATATTATTTTGTACTCAAAATGTACTAAAAATCTAAGTGTACTTTCAATATACTTGAAAGGGCAAAATGTACTCGAAAAGTACAAATGCATTAGCAATGGCAACTCTGCATATAGCCCTGATCTGGTATCGAGTGACTACCACCTCTTTCCCCCGTTATAAAAATCTCAGAAGTCGTGAATTTTAAAGTGATAAGGTAGTTATAAGATGGCAGTTGGAATTGAAGAATTGCAGATTATGGCTTTCTGTAACAAAGAGTGAAACTTTAATCTCACATAAATATGTAAAATGAGATAGATACTGTATTGAAAAATAAGTTAACTGTCATAAAATTTAATTTATATTGTTTTGTTTTAGAATAAGAAATAAACAATCCATAATGTGTGTCATCTAAGCTGATTTTTGGAATAACTCCCTCATATATTCAATTGAGAAAGCATATAAAGAAATATTTTGTAAAAATAATAATAATAATGAAATTAAAAATTAAATAAAAGAAAAATAAATTCTTAAAACAAAAGAAGACTGAATATTAACCAAACAAAGAATAAAAATCAAAACAGAAGACACAAAGAATTTGGTAGATGCATAACACAGAGATTCAATAAAACCAAAAATTTAAGAGTCAAAAAAATATCAGAAATACATTAAAACTCTCAAATTTCTTTACTGTAATAAATTATTATAATTAACTTGTTCATATTTATTGGAAAAGTAATAGATCAAATTTATAAGTATTGACATATGTTATTTATAAACAGCATTTATTTTTAAATCATTTAATAATGTATAATAAAATAGTTAATATAATTTATTAAAATATAGAAAAAAAAAGTTGCTTACAGTCCATGATATGATCAAGTTGTCAGGTTCTGTTCCATAACCTTCTACTTTGTCTGGGTTTTTATATGGCACATCTGTTGGTGTTTCACATCTATCGGAAGGGGCACTTGGCAAACTGGGCCCAATTTTGTTTCGTGCTATTACACGAAATGTATAATTAGCCCATGGTGACATTGGTAACTATAAAAGAAATTAATAAACCTATTTAATACTTTACAAATTATTAAAATTGTTATTATTAGTATTAATAAATAAATAATTAAAAATGTCTAAATAAACTAAAAATGTTTTTCTTATGTTTGATAGCTGTATAATTCTGCTACTTCTTTATTAATTTTATTTAAATACATTTAAATCAAAAAATAAATTAATAATAAACAAGTAGCTAAGTGCAATTAAAATAGACAATAATAGGAAGAAGGGTGTTTCTTCTTTTTTCCTTTTCTTAGGCAACATTTCTACAATGTAGTTTTTATTTGTGCAGCAAATACAAAGAGATTCGGAAAGTTCACAACTTTACCAGAATGCAACAGAGCAAGAGCCACACTACTAAGAGTTCATTATAATTGTTAGTTTTCTTACTTCAACAATTTGATTTCACGATTGTTGCAGCAAGACCAGAATTTGGGAACGATGAGAAGTTGGTGACTCTAGAACAGGCTGTTTCCCTTCTTAATGGTAAAGAAATGGGCAACACATTTCCAAACTGAACATTTTAGATAATATGACTCATTTCAATATGACAGATGAAACTGTGAACACCTTGATTTTCACACATTGCAGAGAATCAAAAGTAAGGCTAAACTAACCAAAATGTATGCTTAAACTAGCTTGGATTTAATTTATCGAAGAATGACCACCAGGAACTAAGATAAAATGTTAAAATAAATAGGACATTATATCTATTTGTGATTATGTGATAACTCTGGATAGCTTCTATATTGAAGTTTATGACTATACAAAAATATATACATTTTCAAGTCTATCTTTTTATTCATTTAACACTAACCACAGAAGTAACAGTTACAACAGCTTGAAGAAAAACTTCATTAAAAAGCCCAATGACAGTAAATAAAAATTCACAAAGTTAAAAATGATATCAAACATCAGCCTTTTACTGGAAAATCTGACGTTTTCACATTAAAAACAAAAGTACAATTTTCTCACCATACTATCAAGTCCTTAGTTTATTTATAACTGGTCTGACCCTCTAGTGGTAGTTTCGAGTTCTCCAATTTCATTTGCATATGATTACGTGATAACTCTGGATTTCTTAGTGTTAAATGGATAAAAGATAGATTTGAAAATGTATATATTTTTGTATAGTCATAAACTTTGATCTATTTGTGAATTCTTCCAAAACCCTACAGGTCTGAACTTAAGACATTTTTGTGTTTTATTAGGATTAGCATGAGTGATTAGCAGAGATATTAGAGATGTTTATACATTTTTTTGGAGGGAATTCTTTATTTTTTCACTAGGAAAAATGTTTAGTTAGTAATTATATCATACTTCTCTCTTTTTTTGCAAAAGTTTCTTATTGAAGGAAATGTACAACATGCACATTGTAAATTAACACAGAGCTCTGTTCTTTACATTCAAAAAATAAAATGCAAGCATTTAAATAAAATTAACAATATTCTTAACAAAATAAATATGGATTTTGATTTTTAACCTAAGTTTTAGAAAATAAGTTGCAGTACTTATACAAGAGTCTTACACACACTTAACAACATTAGAGACCCACAGAAGAGTATCTCTCCAAAATCTCATACAAATAATTATGCATTATATAAATCACTTACTCTCAGTAGTTTGTCAGATGCAGGAACATCTGTGAAAGAATTTGTCCAGCTGTCTTGTTGAAAACTAGTATTATACTGTATTGTATAGCTCAAAATTGGAGCTCTTCTATCTCCCATTGGCTGCCATTCAAGAGTAGCTGATAATCCAGCACATGTCACTTTTGTTACTTTTGGTGGATTAGGCACATCTAAAAGTTTACAATTAAAGAGTGTTTTTAGACATTTTTTATTTATAATATTTAATTATAACACATATGTTTAATTTAATATAATAAAACAGACTTTAATATAAATGAATTGAATATAATGAGTGAATATATAATAATTTAAAAATTATTATACATACATATAATTTTTAATGAAATAAGAAAACATGATAATTTAAGCTAATAAGTAATTGAATGTTAAATTCAATATATGTATAAATAATGATTATAAATACTGTAAAAGTTTATTACCCTTTCCATTACTCTAACAAAATAACAACAACAACACATGCAAAGTGCCTTTGCAAATGTGCCAATTATATTATTGGCATGTTTGCAAAAGCACTTGCCTTTCAATTCAACAGCCAATTCTTATATTAAATATTTGCAATATATAATAAATTTGCTCTCAAAATATTTACCTTGAACAGTAAGAGTTGCCGAAGACTTGTCTTGGTCTAAATCGGTCTGTGCTAAGCATGTGTATATACCAGAATCTAATTCAATTGTTTTTGTTATTGTTAATGAATTATCAGATGCCTGGACCATGCGAGGATCTTGATCAAAATCTATTGGTTGTTCATTAAAGAGCCATATTATCCTTAATTCTAAAGTAGGATCAGCTTCTGCATTACATCTGAATGTTGCAGATTTGCCTGCTGCAACTTCAAAATTTTCTGGAGGTTGAATTATTTTTGTTTTACCTAGAAAATTATTTGATTATTATTATTATTATAATATATATATATATTACTGACAATTTACAATATTATACATTTATTTTAAAAATTAAATGATAATATAAAAATGTCTCTCTCTGCAAAACAATTTTTTATGCTTCAGTAATATAGGCTCCCCGAAGAATTTCTTGTACCTGATTATCTTAAAATGATTAACTTTCCTGGCAAAGCCTGCCAATTGGTCTACCAAACAAGAACCAAACTTGCCATTGACAAGGTTAAATATATTACATGATTCATTTTAGTCTTGAATATGCAACTTTCTTTAATGCATAAAGCAATTTTTGAATATATCTACTAAAACAGTTTATTTAAAAGTGTTCTTTTTTTTAGGACTTGTTCTTGATCCTGTTTTACTTATGTATGTGTTGAATACAGAGAAAGAAAATAATGGAATAAATAATACTTATTATGGTTATTATAATTAAAAAAAGTATCATATTAACTCAAATTGTCTTAGTACAAAGCTGAAACTTTGCTTTGTACTAAGACAATTGAGCAATATTTGCCTCAGAAGATAATTTTATTCTGAGTAATTTTTGAACTCTGGTGAATGTTGGATTTGAAGGACATAACATTGATTTACTCATCTAAAAAAAAACCCCTTTTAAGTGGTTATAAAAGTCAACTGTCTTGTTTATAACTCTGGTTATAATTTAGACAGATAGTTTTTTAAAAAGCAAATTTAAACTGAAGGTCATTTTTACATAAATTATGCAACAACTGAATAATTTAATTGGTATAAATTTATGAATGAAATTTGAATCTTTCTTTTTATTTTGAATTTGTAATAAAGCAATCTCTCATAGAAACTTATGAGTTCTAACTGCACACTCAAAATGCTTTTTGAGAAAATCATCAAACTATTCTTAACATACATATAAAATTTTCAACTTGAAAACCTCAAATTAATATATGCTCAGATTACAAACACTATATCAAGTTTATTAAGTTTATTTCAGTCAAAATGAATTTTACCAAACTGTTTTACCATTACTTGACATTACATACTTTTTACTTCTAATCGTCCATGTTCTTCGGCTTCACCAAATTTATTTCTTGCATAACAAGTATAATCTCCCTGATCTGTAACTAACACATTTTTAATTTCAAGATTCCCATCTTCAATAACCTATAAAATAGCAAAATTGAAACTCAAATATAAATAAAAATTGGCCAAAAACTAAATATTATGCAAAATATTTTAAATATACTTTTGAAAAATAAATTTCTAATTAATGCAAAGCATTAGGTATTGATACTTTATGTAAAATTCTATTTAGATATTTAGCATCAAATATCTAAAAACAATCTACCTGATATCTTCCTCCTGTTAATTCCTGTCCATTCTTGATCCATTTAACATCGGGTCGAGGTGCACCAAATACTTTACAGCGTAGCACTACTGTCGATGTAACTACTGCTTTTACTAGCTTTTCTGGGGGATTAGTTATGGTAGGAGGTAATGCTGTAAACAAAATGTATTTATTTATTTATTAAAACTAAATATATTTAAAATGCTATCATATATTAACTTAAAGAAGGTCTTAAATAATGCAAATTTAGAAAAAAATAAATTTTTATTTGAAATAATATTTTATATATCAATTATCTATAATAATAACAAATATAATTGTTTAAACTATTATCTTCATATCTGCAATTAATCATATATTGTCCATTCCCGTGAAAATACAAACACAAAGCTTGTGTTTCCATTCATAATTCTAAATTCATTCAAAGCCAAAATTCAAGAATTTATGCATTATGTATTAGATTTGAATAATATAGTATTAAATTTGTAATTAAAATATGCAGAATTATACTTTTTATAAACTTATAAACTGTGTAACTTAAAAAAAAATCACTTACCTAAAACATTTAAATAGAAATCACGAAACACGTAACCATGAATATTTGATGCATTACACTGATACACAGCAGTGTCAATTTTTTCTAGATTATCAATAATTAAAACATTTCCATGAACACTTCTTCTTTCATTTGTTTTAACCTCTAAAAAATAAATAATTTTATTTAAATATTCTTATATTATACAAGTTATTTGCGAGACAATCATTGTAATTTAATACATAAAAGTAATTTTTTTAACTAGCAAAATTATAATACTATGACAATGTTTAACTTAAAACAAAAATTTTAATCTTTTATATTAGTATATATACTACTCGAACTGATACGTTATATACTGTAGCACAAAATAGATAAAGTCTATCCATCAATTATAAGATAAAGCAATTAATAATCCTAAATTTTATAAATTTCCCTGAATTTTCACAAGGTATCCTGTATGATAGTAATAGTTAAGAACAATTTTGCTACTTTCTTCATTTTCTAAACAGATTTTTAAATCATATGGTTGACAATTTAAATATAGGAATAGAAAAAGAAGAGAAAAGTTATTAATTTCATTAATTTCAACAGTAAAATAACAATAATCTTTTAAATAAAAATTAATTATAATAATTTAAAATAATTTTTATCATTTCTTTCAATATAGGAAATTTAATTGTATTTTTAATTTGTTATACAATGATACCTCAGTTTTCATTGATTATCTGTCCAAAAACAATCGGTGAAATCCAAAACCAACAAAAACCGAGGAAATTATTTCCATATGAATCAATGTAAATCCAATTAATTCATTCTAGACACTCCAAAAACAATAAGAAATTAATATAAAAAGACTAATGTAAAGAATAAATGAACATTTAACATGGCATTCAAAGGGCTGCTGGCTCTGGAAACTTTGGTCCCATGATGGAGCTAAAATGAAAGAAAAGCAATAGAATTGTTTGGCTAGATGTGCGGGGTAATGCTCACACAACAAGAAACAATGCCACACTGAGCAGGAAAACATGTGGTTCACCCTTTGTTTTTGCAAAATTAGCAGTGAGGTCACGTGGGCATGTTGACAAAAACCAAGTCAGATTTTTTGTAAAAAAAAATTGACGAAAACTGAAACCGACAATAACCAAGGTATTACTGTACTTTGTTTATTAATCGTCCAATCTCAAAAAGCAAAACAGATGTAACTAAATAGAGTATATAATATGTGCCAAAGAATTAATTATAAAAAGAGTTTTATTTGTGAAAAGTATATTTTGCACTTGATAAATTACTATATTTTAAAATTTTGTTAACTGTTAATTTTTAATGTTTCAGACATTTGCAACATCTAGATATCTTACATTTACTGCTTAAATTCTAAAATAATTTTATCATTGTCTTCTACACGAGATAAAATTTAATGTGAGACCTGAAAGGCCCCTGGGTCTAAACCAGTAATTTTATTAATAACGTTAATATTTTGTTATAAAATATTATTTCGTTTGGGTGAGAAAAATGACGTTTTAGAATGGGAAAAATAGATAACAGATGTTACTTCCTTTCACAGAAGTTAGTGCATCCTCTGTTTTTCCCTTATCTGCGAAAACTCTCGCTTTGATGGGAAATGTTTACCCCTCACATATCCCCCTTTCCATCCATTCTCACGGAGGAATCTTTGCATGATGATTGGTCACCGATCGTGACATATAGAGGAAATTTGTCAGAATTCGCGGAGTTCAGCGATAGAGCTGGAAGTGTCCAAACTCCACACATATTTTCCTCCTGATGACCAACGCCCTTAGACGAGTCACATAGAAGAATTCCAGAGTTAGCACTTAGAAGTTATACTTTGATTTTGTGCACATATCGATCTCCCATGATAAGAAGTAAATGAACTTTATTCTCCAAAGTGTCCCTTGCCTACAGAGAAGAAGACGAACGACAACTAGAACAGGTTGTATGTTTTATAACGATTTTGTGAGCTCTCTCTCTCTCGATCGCGAAGCGGGTATAGTATAAGTCCTTGCCTATATCATGTATCTTAATTGTCATATTTATATCCCTCGTTCCTTGATATCTGTATTAGTTTTACTTATATGGAATCATTAAACTTACTCTTGTTTGTTTTATATAAGATATGTCTCTTTATAGATCTGATTCAGACTCGAATTAAGTAGTCGCACACGTGTTTGTCCGCGGATCGATAAATTGACAAACTGGTGTCAGCCCTGACAAGCATCTGGACTTCACCGTTCAGATCTACTAGCGGTAGATCTGATCGCTCTCCTATGAGAACTTTTAAGATCGAATCTCTCAATCCGAAACTTTGGAGACAGATTTCGGATAATCTGTGCCGATTAAGTGGTACGAACAATCATTAGAGGATTAGAGTACCCCCCGGCTACTCACATTAATGTTTAGTAATTTACATTGTTTGGATGAAAACTAAAACTCAGGAATATCATTCTATCACACAAATTTCATAAATATAACCAGAAAAAACATTTTTAAGGATTCCAAATCATTTGGTAAAGCCATTTACTAACTTTTGAAAATTTACATATTTTCAGACTTATAAATAAATTATTTGAAGAAAAATACAAGTTAAAGTTCGTTGATGTAAGAGTTGTTGCTTAAAGTATTAAAATGATAAGACAGAAGTAAATTTTTTTATTAAAAAAAAACTGAATAAATAGAATTACAAAAATTTTGATTTCTTATTTTAAATGATTATATATAAAAATTACTATGTAAAATATTTATTTAGAAAAATAAGTTAAGTGAATTGTGTTAGAAAAATTAAATTTTTGTAACTCTAATTACAATTTGAACAAATAAAAGTTTCAATAATTTGTAAAAAATCCACTTTTGATAATCTTTGGTAAGATGCACATTAAAATTTCTTCCAATTGTTCATAATGCTATCAATTTTTGCAACTCTTTACATTCTTTACAAGTTAGTGGAAATGTTTAGAAAATAAATAATTAATAATTTTAATTATAATAAATTGATAAAAAACAAACAAACAAAATATACATATATTAATTTTAAAGACAATAAAATACTGGGCAAAATGAATTTACACAAATACAGAAATTTAAATTACATATTTTTGTGTTTGTATGTCATTTAATTATTTTTACTATAAATTTTTCTTCATTTAAATAAATTTTTCACTTCATTGATGGATTATTAAAAAATTATTAATTTTTTTTTGTTACACACTTTATGAAAATTTGAAATAAAGTAATTAAATAGAACAGTATGAAATGATATGTTCATGAGAAATTTTTTTCTGCAGATCAAATTGGACATAAATACAGCTTACTATAACAATAATAATTTGCATGTTAAATAATTTAAAAAATGATTCATACAATTAAAAATATAACAACTTACTCTCTATTGGTTCTCCATTTATAAACCATTGAAGTTTTGGTTCAGGAATTCCTTCTGCATGACATACAAATTTTACAGATTCACCTTCTGCTTCATTTGTATTATTTGGCGCTTCAATCCAATAAGGTGCAGCTGGATAAATTTTTAAACAAGCAAAATTCATATTAATTTGCGCAAGATAACTTTTAAAGTTTCATAATACTATAACTGCCAATACAAATCAGTTAAATGAATAATGAAATGGCTATTTAAGTGAATTCAATAACTTTAAAAAACTGATAAGATTGTTTTATTTTATAGGAATATTATGCTTCCTTTCATTAATAAAAATGGACAGAAAAATAGTTAGTTATCAATATACATAATGTTGTAAATAGCTACATTGATAACTTGATATAATGTGCTTTGACATAATACCAGCAGTCTGTCAACTCCAATTTATTGTCCAGATTAAATTTATCAAAGCCAGAGCAAAACAAATAGTGTGAGGTTCTATGTAGAGTGAATGGTAAGTTGAAAAACATGACATGGGTTGTTTGTATACCTGACAGAAAGGGTTCCTCCATACATAGATGGTATAATTTTTTGAACCTCCAAGGACTGCATTATATCAAATTATCACTGTATCATTATTTTTAAATCATTGTAATTGTGATTAATAGAACAGACAGTTTGACATTTTAGTTATAATTACAAACTAATAAAATTGGTTTAAAAATAGAGAAGTCAGTACATAAATAATAAGAATAAACATTTTTAAGCAAAGTCTGCTTCAGCTTCAGAAAGCATCTCTAAAATTTTAAGAATGGACTGACAAAAAGAATGAATGCTAATGAATGTTTTGTGCATAATTATTATTAAGGAGTCAAACTAAGGAGCCTAACTTAATTAAAAATAGGTTTATATAAATATAAATGCCTGATTTTTCTTGTAAAATTAGTCACTATATTTTATGTCTGAATACAAAAAGAATGATAAATAACAACAATAAAGCATTTTCTGTCTTATTCAGGAATCTTCAGATCCTTTATCAGTATTATTTTCATGTGTAATAATTAAATAAGTTCTGAAAATAGAGATAATGAGCAAACTACATGAAACAATATTATATGTCTGTAATTAGCATATCAAATCTATATATTTTTCATTTGGATTAACAATATAGATTTTCTCATAGTAACATATTTTAACAATTAAATTATACAGAAGTTAATGATGTTTTAAATTAAAAATTTCTAGAAAACTTTTGCTTTTCTGCATCATCTATTTATTTTTAATATCATTCTATACAAGATAAATAATTACCTTGAACAGTCACATTCATTGCATGACTTTGAGGTTTTCCATTTCCATTACTGGCTGTACATTCATATATACCTTCGTCTTCAAGCGTAACGGATGAAATCTTCAGAGCTCTTCCATATTGTTCATGCTGATATCTACCCGAATGAAGGTTTCCATTTTTTCTCCTCCAATCTATTTGTGGTATTGGCCTAAAATAGACAATTCATATAGAACTAGTTTAAATTTAAATATCTTATAGTTTTAAAACTTACGTTCCGCCGAAAATACAACTGAGTACCACTGATTGACCTCGCAAAGCAATAATTGCTGGTGGTGAAACATACTGTTTTGTTGGTTCATAGCTGGCTTGACCTGAACCTAAAAATTTTATGTAATAATAATAACTTAAAGTCACATATATTTTTAAATGTATGTAATTGGAAACAATTATCAATATCAATCTTTATTAGTATAAAGAGTAAAAGCCCTGTTACTCAGGGGCTAAATCATTACAACTGTCAAAAGGAGAATATACATTTTACAAACAGAAATTCAAAATTTACATCAATTGGAAACTATTATTAAAAAAAATTAATTCTAACAATTATTATATGATAACATTTCCACTGATTAAAATTATCTCCAAATGGTTATAAAGTGGAGAATTAGTTTAAATGTACAGTATAATTTTCTTAACAAAACTGCATGAAATTCGTAAAAAATCTTAATTGTTGTTTTCTAAAAAAAACATCAGAAATATTACACAATCGTAATCTATCTCACTATATATGGACATTCTTATAATTTATTCATGATATAATACTCTAGATTAATATTTTAGCATTGATTTGAATAACTAGCATAAATATTTTATGAAAATTATTATTAATAGCAACATCATTTTACACTTATCAAGCCGACGATGCTGTGTAATTTTATCATTTTCATAAATAATAAATATCAGTACTATGCTTTATATAACTGCACTAATATACTAATAAAAATTAATGTTTATATTAATTAAATAAACATAATAAACATTAAGAAATAAGTTAAATTGCTAATTAGAAGAATCATTATGTAATAAAACAAATTTAATGATCTAAATAAAACAACAAATTTGAAATTAAGTTTAACAAATATTACTCATTATTTTAATTGTAAACAAATAATTTTGCTATTGTTTTTTTTCATTTATTTTTAGAAACTTACTAAGTTTTGTCAAAAAAAAATATTCAATTCTCTAAAAATATGACACCTCAAAAATTAATTTCTTGTTGCATTTAACTAAATAAATTTTTCAAATTCACATATCTATAATGCTTTAAATTAATAGTATCTATTCATTTTGGCATCATATGCTATAAATTTCATCACTTCTTTAGATTTGCTTTTTTCAAAGCATTAAAAGAGATATATAAATATTCTTCTACAAAGCTTTTAATTGCATGCATTGCCAAAAATTTCTAAATTTGAAATTTATTGTTAATTTTTTTCAGAAAATCAGACAAGACATGATTTTCAAACACATCACTAAAAACATTTTTGCTTACCTCCAGTATCTTGGACATTCAGTGAAATTTTATTACCTAATTTGTATTCATTTCGAAAAAATGACGTTGCACTACATGCATAATATTGGTCTTTTACAGAATCCTCACGAGTTACATTTGAAAAATGTAAATTTCCTTCTGGATCAACAGTAAGTCTTGAACTAAAAATTGAAAGATTAGAATTTAAATTCATCTTAATAAATTCTAAATATATTTTAAGAATAATTTAATAATACAAATAAAAATTTATATTAAGTTATTTAATAAATAGTGACTTTACTGTGATGAATATATGAAATATAACAATGAAAAAATTACAATTTAAGAATAACCATAATTTCATATTCATCATCATAAAGTTATTTTTTATTAAATCATCAAATATGCATTAAGTATTATTTAATAAAATGTTTAAAACTAAGTTTTAAAATATGTTTTAACTACTGACTTTCAAGACAATTCAAAATTCCATATATTGAGTTAACCAAAATTTTATTTGGATTTTAACATGAAAATAGAAAGCACAAACCTTTAATTTATTATTATGATTTTATTAAAAAATACAGTCATTTCCTGTAATGTAGCTTATTGCTATATGAAAATTTTAAAATTCACCAAAAAATATGACAAAGTTTCACCAGATTTATATCTGGTGATCTAGTAAAGTCAACCCCCTATAACACTGTTGATTATTCCGTTTTATATGAATTCCATGTTGTATGAGTCACTTAGATTTTACAAATATGTCTGCCGGACTGTGAACGGCTCACACATTTGTAAAATCTAAGTGACTCGTACAACATGGAATTCATATAAAACGGAATTATCAACAGTGTTATAGGGTGGCCAACTGTAATTACAGTTAAGGTAAATTATACTTAACTGTAATTAATAGACAGTTATTTAAACAATAAATAACTAGTAAATTCTAATAAACATAATCCTCTAATTTTATTTAAGGAAACACAGGGAAAAACATTGATAAATGTTCTTTTCAGTATATTTATCAGTCTAATAATTTCTAATTTCTTCCAATTATAAATCAAACCACCATTTTGACTTTAAAATACATCAATTTCAGAAATTTCACTTCTAAGGATCTCTGGCACGTGTCTGACCTATCCAAGTGCACATTACCATGACATGCTAAACCATAAACCACGGCCAATTCAAAAGCACTGGTTTATGGTATCCAGTTAGAATGACATTTATATTCCAAAAGCTGAAAGGAGTTTATTTAGAACTTGTAACAACTGATGTATGCAATTACAAATGGTCTTTGATGAATACCTAAAATAATCCTACAATGCATTCATTGAGAAACTGATTTAGAGCATTACAAACAATGACTCAATGAATCTTCAAGAAAAATGTCTCATTTTATAATTATTTTTACTGTAAGCAAAACAATTAACTTATAGTTTGAATATTTTCCAATTTTTCGTAGTACTACGTAAAAAATTTTGTACAGTTAGATATATTTTGTAGCATTTTAAAGCAATTGTACTATAAATAATATCACATATGCTTTAAAATCCTGTGATATATATGATGCAGTATGAAATTTGTTTCATCATCACTTATAGAAATTTCTATGTCATTTCAATAACTTGTGAAGATTATTAAATTAATATGCTATTGTTTATCCTTGTAAGCTATTTCAACAATTCTTTGCTCAGTTACAATACTATTATAGAAGAGCAACTTCACATTTTTTTAAAATTATGTACTAAGTGATAACTTTATACAATATTAACATAACAACATAGTTGTATCATCAAATTGTGTAACAAATCATTAAAAGTTTATTTAAATTTTTTAAAACTGATTTTAAAAAATATTATAAATAATACTAACCTATTAATAGTATGTAAAGCTCCACTATTAGATACCATTAACCAAAATATACTTGGTTTTGGATATCCAGTTGGTGGACTACAGTATAAAGTTAATGGTTGACCTTCTTTTACTTCTTGTACTTTTCTTTCTGTATCAGGAAATGAATTCAGTTCTGAAATAAACAAGTGACTTTAAATATTCGATTTTTAACAAAATTTTATACATATAATTATTCATCTTTTATTATACACTATATTTATATTTTATGCAATAATTTTACATTTTTGTTGTAAAAGTGAAAGCTATTCAAACCAGATAAAATACTTTTGTTTTTTTAAACACCAGAGGGTGAGCAACCAGTAAAAAATGCGAATGCACGGTTCACAAAAATTATTTGCAAAAATGCAAAAAATCCTTCGCGCACACGTATAGGACGACCTAGGTTTTTGAAGCAGTGAAAAATGAATAAAAACATCATCTTATATGTGAGTAAATACAGCAATATTAGTGGTAATGTTTGTTTACATTAATTAAAACTAAATTAAGATTACAGAACCTACTAATGTGAAATGCAGTGAATGTCATCCTTCATAATTATCGTTTTAGTTTTATAATACAAACTGCCACAACTTTTGATTTTGAATGTGTTCCTAAAAATGTGTACAAAAGTCATATAACACAGTTGTGTGTTATAAAGAGAGATTCATTTCTAGAGAGCAAAAAGAATTGTAATAATATCTCTTACTTTATTAAGAGATATTATTACAATTCTTTTTGCTCTCTAGAAATGAATCTCCCTTCATAACACACAACTGTGTTATAAAGTGGAAAAGTTTTAATTATTTTCAGTAAATATACCTAATTTAACATGTTAAAACTATAAAAGTAAACAAAAAAATAATAATAAAAATTAATTTTTGCATATAATTTGGACATTAGTGAAATAAAAGCAAACAAAAAGCATCACCACATGCTAGCTTAAAATTTGTGTTTGTCGGGTAAAAGTGTACAAGAGTTAATTTGGCAATTAAAAATGATTTACAGCAATGTACAAAAGAGCAAATAGACTGAAAGTCAAATTATCATCATTATTATAATACACTGAAGTGGATTAGACAGTTTTAATTTCTCTTTCAGTTAGATATTTCAAAAATGAAGAATCATAAAATAAATTTTATATTTAGAACTTGTCAACTAATATAAAAAAATATTTAATGACTTAAAATAACTTTAAGAATTCCCAATACATTAAAAAAATTATAAGCATTGAATAAGAGTTGTCTGACTTACATGTTATTTTAACATCTATAAATAAAACAATTCCTGTTCATATTATTTTTTTAATTAAATTTATGATTTTTAATAATTATTAAAAATTATCTGAATTATAAGTATTGAAATTTGCTTAAAGATAAAGTGAATTGATATGCAACTCTAGAAGTTGCTTTTAATTTTAATGGGCTTATACCTGTAAATTAAGATTGTACAATCTAAAAATGTTATTTTATCACCAGATTCATTATGGTTTTTGCATTTACTATAGTTTTGCTTGATAATCTGCTTCATTTATTGGCTCCAAAATCAGTAAGGCTTTTCTATACATTTTTATTTCCTTCTAAGTTTTAACTATTTTTAAAATCCTGCATTAAATCACTTCTTTTATAACAAGTATACCAACCCAAATATATCAAATCCATGGTTCACTAGTAACTATGTCATTATATTTATACTTGAAACAAAGAATTAACTCCGTTTTAAACTAAAAATAATTTATCAATATTTCTGGATAAGTGTAAGTGCCTGAATTTAATAAACTTTTATAAACCTTTTTATAAATGTTCATGCTCACTTTAAAATGAAATGAAATAATGTTTAAACTCATGGGAAAAAAAATTCTATTTTTCCCCAACACTTAATAATAAAAAACTAGAAGGATGCGATCGTATCTTTCTCTGGATTCACTTCCTTTCAAGGGTGACACAGCTTCCTAATGTGTCACCCAGAATCTATGATCAAAATTCAAATATTGGACAGTTGAAACAAAAAACTCCTAACCTAGGACAAACTCCCTAATAAAAAGGAGGAGTCGATGAGTTGTTGTTGTCAACTAGTTTTTCTTGAACTGTGTGTGTCCAGCTGCCTGCCAATCTTACCCGTCGCCACTCAAGAGAAATTGTCGCCACTCCAGAGACAAAAATGACTCTCTACATGTGAAAATTCCAAATGGATCTTCAATTTCTACAAACTCTTAAGGTATTTATCAATGCATGCACGATTGCAAGCTCTTTCTCTCTCGCAGTCAGAATCGTGATCATAATAATAGTATCCACTAAACATCTGTATAATGATAAGGTTCACCCTTCTATATATCATATTATTAGCATCCACTAAGCATCTGTATACAGCTTGAAACTAGTCTAGAAAAATAAACAGGGATTGCTAATTGTTAACTTCATAGTAGCATGCACTTCTTCCAGTCATCTCTCAGGCATCTCTATCCTGAATCCGGATGCCTACAAACGCGACCGCTTGCGTGCAACAAATAAAATAATGAGCATCACAGTCTCTGTTTCTACCCAAAAGACATCACTGTGTCTTTTGGGTAGACACAGAGCAGACCAAAGGGTTGACTTTGCCAGCGCGATGTCAACCCTTCGGTCCTGTGGTGCCGAAGCATAGGGGGTGCTCTGGCATTGTCACATAAGAATTGCTAAGTAGCTATCAAGTTTTGTCTAAAGCCTGTTGTTAATTTATTTATAATAATTATTCTGCTCAAATTCATGGAATGGTAACAATCCTTTCAAAACCAAAAATCTTACATATTTCTTTTAGTAACAATTTTATTTTCTTTATACTTATTAAAAGAAAAGAAAAAAAAAACATCGAATGTATTAGCAATCATACTTATCATGGCATTTACACTTATGATAAAAATCTGCTGTTTTAATCTGTAAAATTACTATTTATTAATCTGCAATCATATGCAATAGTGGCAATTTTCCATACCTGCTAGTTTTATCATGGATGTTTTTATCAAATTGAATTGTTTAGCTGTACTTCCATGATATTCTCATGCTACATGTTATCCATGTAACTGAGTAAAATTAAATTGAAAAAATTTTGTTTGCTTATCACAAGACCTCAAAAAAACTGGTGTCGAAATTTGCTGTCTTGCACATGTAACTGTGTACCATTTTTTTTCCACATGATTACAAATATACTCCACTCTGACATCATTTCTGATGACCTAATGTCATCAACAATGACAATGTGGAAGTCTCTCATGATTGCTGCAAGAGGTAGTCTGGCATCACAAATGTTTGTCAGCTATATATTCTGTAATGACATGGCAGCCAGCAAGTTGCTATGACCTTGAATGTTTGTCTCAGTAAAATAACCTGGAATGCTGTAACCTTCAACAATTTTTATGTTTTCATGGCTTTATTTTGTGCCTGAAAAATACAGAAAAATCATTTTTGGTCCTTCTGAAAAACACCTCAACCTCCCAACATTTATTTCTAATTGAACTCATTTCATATTAGCTCGTTCTATCACAAAGTTTAAGTGGTCCAATAAGAACTCATTAAAATGGTATTGTTCTGTAAACAAAATATCTCATAAACTAAACAATGTATGATAATAAAATTTGACACACAAATGATTTATCAAATCATCAATTTCAAGGAATAAAAATTACATGTGAAAAAAATCACCACATTACATATGTTTAAAAAAAGTACATGTTGTTATTGCAGGTTAAAATTTTCTTTGTAATTTATAAAGCTTTCATGTTTGTCTTTTATTTAAATTAGGTCACGATTTCTATTATTTTATGCATATAAGGATCTTATGTGGGTAATAATAGTTGCAAGTAAATTAATTTTTTTTTTGATAGAACTTAAAACAAATTTTCATTATAATATAAATTAAAACAATTGTGAATGGCTCGCTACCTTTCCTTGTATTTCAACAAAAAATTTATTATAAACAAACTAACAGGAAGTTTTAGACAAAAATTAATAACTAGTTAATCAATTATTATTCAATAACATTACTCACAAGGGAACTGTTGGAGTGTCTATTAATAAATATTAATAAAATTTAGTTAATAATTATGTTAAAAGTATACAAACTCTATATTAAATTTGTAATATTCACTAAAAGTGTTAATCAGGGTTAATAGCAATCAAATGTCATACTATTTTATATTAGTTTAACACAAATATGCAAATTTTTAGTAGTGAAAGGGTCGCGGAGGAAGATGACAATATTACATTTAGAGAGTAGAATAAGGAATAAACTCAAATAAATGTTATATGAAAGATTAGATTGCGGCAGTTGGCAACATGGCATTTGACCATCATTTCCAACCTATGTAATGTCAGACCATGGCTAACTCCACTTTTTGGGTGGACATGCTTCTGTACGGGCTCTCGCCTCACTGTGCACTCCGACCACTGTTTCCACGGTTGATGTAATTGTAACTCTTGTACATAGTTCTGTAAAATAAACTCGTGACAATGACTATTGAACTCCATCGTCTGTCCTGGAATCATTCATTCGACACAATGATGACACTATTCATAGATGTAATCGGATTGATCAATATAACTGATTTCTTTCTCAGGAGGTATGCTTAAGTGGCCTCCACGACTTAGTAATCTGGACTAGGTGGTCCCAGCGACACCAACCATTTCAAAACCTGAATCCCAGACTTCATTGACAGGAATCCAGGTAGACCTCCTTTTTACTCTCCATGCTGGTCAAGCAGCCAAACTATTCTGCTGTTTGACTGGCATGAAGAGACCAGGTTTTGAAATGTTCGGCATTGCTGGGATCAACTAGTCCAGATTACTATGTTCTGGAGGCCACTAAGACATATCTCTTGAGAAGATCAGTTATGTCGATCAATCCAATTATATCTACAAATAGTGTCGTCATCATGTCAAGTGAATGATTCCAGGACAGACGATGGAGTTCAATGGTCATTGTCACGAGTTTATTTTACAGAACTATATACAAGAGTTACAATTAAATCAACCGTGGAAACAGTGGTCGGAGTGCGCAGTGAGGCGAGAGACCGGACAGAAGCATGTCCACCCAAAAAGTGGAGTTAGCCATGGTCTGACATTACATAGGTTGGAAATGATGGTCAAATGCCATGTTGCCAACTGCCGCAATCTAATCTTTCATATAACATTTATTTGAGTTTATTCCTTATTCTACTCTCTAAATGTAATATTGTCATCTTCCTCCGTGACCCTTTCACTACTAAAAATTTGAATATTTGTGTTAAACTAATATAAATTAGTATGACATTTGATTGCTATTAACCCTGATTAACACTTTTAGTGAATATTACAAATTTAATATAGAGTTTGTATATTTTTAACGTAATTATTAACTAAATTTTAATAATACTTATTAAAAGACATTCTGACAGTTCCCTTGTCAGTCTGTTACACAGCAAATATATCTAATAAATACAGATTAATTAAACCATTATTTTACATAACAATAATATGAAGTAAATAATATGCAGAAAATTTGAACACAGAAAAACCAATTTATTTCTAATTATTGTGAAAATTGAAACAATTTTTTAATACATTGATTTTTACTAATTTTCCAGTTTTTAAATTTTTAAAAAATTATCACAAAAATAAACATTTAGAATCTGAAATATTTATTTTGAATAAAACAAATGTATTCAGTTTACAAAAATGATAAGAAAAATGGTATGGAAAATGTAACTATCAGAAAATTCAGTTATTGTGCATGACAATTACATTTAAAAATAATTCAAATTGTTCTCATTAAAAATAAGTATAGAAAAAGATTATTCAAAGAGCATTGTAATAGGTCAAAACTTGTAATTCATGTATTGATGAAGCTTTTTGTTACATTACATTATATTACATTAAATTGTAGAATTAATATTAGATGTAAGATCCTTAACATTTTATACAATCAATAATTGTGAATCTTAAAAGATAAAATGACATAATTAGCAGTTATTTCATATATAAATGATATAATTAAAATAATTCCTAGATGAAATAAGTGCTGACTATTTAAAGATTAAATACATATACAATGTATTCAAATCAGAAGTTCAATTTCCATTTGTTGCAAAAACATTTAGCAAATTAAATATTCAATTACTAAAATGTTTATATATTAACAATAAATATATTATTAAGAAATATAAAATATTATGATATGTTTTATCACAACTTTACATAAAGATTAATATTTCTTCTTTAATTCCTTATAAAATTTGGCAATGAAAATCTAATAGTTTTAGATCTTTATAGGCATATACAGTAGTATTTAAAAAAACTATTTGATAAATCATAAAAATTTCCTGGAAAAAACAATAAATATAGAGTACTCAGTGGGTGTTATATTGAAATATCTATTGGGTAATACACTAAAAACTGTTATATAATTAGTCACTCTTCCTGTATAATGTATATGAGAGGAGACTTGTATGACATGCTAGTGGGACCACCATTTAATAATAAATATTATTATTCTGAAACTATGAGTAATATAGAAATTATCATACAATATTGAAGACAAATAAAAAAAACATTTGAAGTTTTCTGACCCTCCATTCACAATCACCAGAACACAATGCTAGCAGAATCAACTTTTCTCTATAGACTCTTCTCTGCCTATATGTATGCAAATTATTTAAAAGTTTGTGACATCAGACTATTCATAAACATTTCTTGGTAAAATACAGATTAAAAAGTACAGATCAGAGAAGGGCCTTAAAACATTTTAAACAATTTGCATATGTATAGGCATAGAAGAGACTATAAAGGATAGTGTTTACTGCTAGTGTTAAGTATGATCTAGTGATTGTGAGTGGACCTTAGACAACTTCAAAAATATTTTCTTTTTGTATTTTGTCTTTAATGTTGTACAAATATATTTCATCCTAAATGTTTTAATCTTTGTTTTACACAAAAATTATTATTTTAAATTTTTATTCCAGATTCTGAACTTAAAAACTGATATTTACAATTTTTAAAATTATGTAAAATTTGTCTTAAACAGCATTTAGAACAAAAAATGTTGCTAGTTAAGCAGAAATTTTTAACTTATAGAATAGAATCTTGTGTAATAGTGTGGAATTTAATCTGTAGTTTATAGTAATAATATTAAAAAAAAGTTATGAAAAAGACTTACCAGATTTTCTTAAGAAAACTGAATTTGAAACTGATGTACCGTGAATATTTTCGGCAAAACACTGATAAAGACCTTCATCGATACTTTCAGGTTTTGTAAATACTAGTGTCCCTCGTCTGGGCTGTTGACTGATTCGCTTATCATAGGATACGTAATCAAATTCCAACCCATTTTTATTCCATCGGTACCTAAATATTAATATTTAAAAAAAAGCTTCTAAAAACTTTGCATTTTTTCTGATAATTTAACTCCAAAAAAATAAGCTAATAAAGTATCGCTAAAGCCGAATGATCTGCCAAATAATCGGGCTACAATTAGGCTAATTTAATAATTAAATACAAAATAATTTGTCTAGAGATAGGCCATCTGGTGATAATTTTAGCATAGTTATCATAGACCAATAAAAAATTTGAAGAAAAGTCTGGTTTTAATTGAAAATTGGAATTGTCGAGTTGTTTATATATAAAGTATTGCTATAAACATTTTAAAAATCCAAAAACAAAATTATAAAATTATTCAAGAACATTAAAAAGTGGTTAAACTAAATAATAAAGAATTTTTGTCTTCACAATTTTTTATTAATGTTCATAGTCGAATGCTTTATGAATTTTCACTTCTTGACGGTTCCAATGACAAGTGAAAATTCATTCCTTACTATTAAGATTTAAATATGGAGATTGACTTAATACATAATTTATATTTAATCGAAAAGAATTTTAAAAATTCTTTCCGACTTTCATAATATTAATTATTTTCATATTCAGTAAATAGAATACAAAATTAATTTACTTTTATATTTTTGTTAAATAAATTAAGGAACTTTTTTAAAATACAAAATAAATAAAAATTACCTTTTTTTTCATTTTTTAAAATTTTCTCTAAAAAATTTTTAATTGTATAATTACAGCCGATTTTTTTTATGTGACTTTCATATTAAATATAATTAGACTGACTCATGATTTTGTTCTAAATTGTTTTAATGGATAGAGTCAAGGTCTATACACTCTTATTCAATTTGATTCAATCTCTTCATTATGTCATCAATGTATTAATGTTAAAATATTGTGACCTTATATTTTAAATTAATTTATTTTAAATGATGTCATGTTTATAATATAAATTTTTTTAAAAGAAATTTCAATAAATCTTTAAGAATCATAGATTAAAAAAATTTTTTATACAAATTTTGTTTTAATAACATTTTAATTCACTAAACATTAAATTAGAATAGTCAATGTAATTATATAATACATGTTTATATTGAAAATGTAAATATTAAAATTTTTCATCAAGAATTAATGTTGAATTTTCTATCAGTAAACTGAAATGCTTTGTCTATATAACTTGCAGAATTTTAACTTTTTTTTAAAACTTTGGCATTTTTAAAACTGGTAAGCCATCATGTCACTGCCACACTCCTACCTCACTGTCATACACAATGGAATTGTCCTTGTTATTTTACAACAGAAGACTGTATTTAAAATATATATATATATAAAAAAATATATTAATGATTACAAATTTAATTTTAGATTTATAAATAAAAAGAATTTTAGCAAGTATTTAAAAAAATTTTAAATACTTGCTAATAAATGATAAAGGAAATTAATTTTCACTGTATTATTTATAATCTGTAAAGAATTCATTGATAAAATATACATCTCAGATATAATGTAACTTGAGATGCTTGGCATTCCTTTGCTATGAGTAATCTTTCTGATACAGATAAGATCTTCATAATGGTCAACAAAGTTAGAAAGTAATTAGATTAATCAAATTTTGAAACTTTAACCATTACATTTCACTGTTACTGAAATTGATAAAAATACTATGAATAAAAGTTGAAATAAAAGTACAAGAATATTGCACCATTAATAATGATTAAATAAAATTCAAATAAGATAGCTAGTATCCTTGTCAGTTTTTCTGTTCTGTGGGCCCAACAAGGATACACTAATTTACTTTTATTCAAGTATTTTGATATACAGTATATACAAGATGATTCAAAAGATCTTAGACAAACTTTAAACGTAGGCCAGGAATACAAAAACCATTTTTACCAAGGAACTTAACCACAAATACCACCCAGAATACTAGAAGTACAGGAAGAATCATGCAGAAAGGAATATAAGGTTTACAACATGTTTATTAGAACACTTGGATGGTATTTGTAGCTACATTTTCCAAGGTAAAAATGGTTTGTTTTTGTACTCCTAACTTATCTTTAAAGTTTGTCTAACATCTTTTGAATCACCTTGTATATATTATATATATACAGTATATTTTTAAATATGTTCAAAAAATTTGTTTACATGGATGCATGTAGAGCAGAATAGTTTTTAAAGCATATAATATTCAGCTTTTTAATGTTTAATTTCAAAAATAATAATAATTAAAATGCCTTAAATATCTTATTTTTCAAATATTAGATTTATTTATTTTTAAAACTAATATATTAAGATAAAATCTATATTTCATTTTTTAGTTCATTAGTTTCATCACCACCACTTGAGTAAAGACCTTATTACTGCATATACAGCAATTCTTAATATTTGGAATAATTCAGTTTACTGTCAACACGAGACAGATGATAACTGTAAATCATGATTTGATTGTATATATAATCATATATGTAATTTTAAATTTTTAAACTTAAAATAGTATTTTTATTAGAACCTACTATTGTTACTTGTAGAATAGGTATTGATCTTTTTCAATGAAATGATTATAAAAATTGCAAATATAATTATCAATTAGTTAATCAGAAATGAAAATAAAAATCTTACACAGGTTCGGGATTTCCATCAGCTTCACATTCTAAAGTAAATGGCTTATCACGTTCGTCCTGATTCTGTACAACTTGATACAACTGTTCATAAGGTGGCTGTTTGATCATGGTAGGAGGATACTGAACTGCCGCTATTACCAAAGTCACATGCAGCACGGGGATATATATTGTAAGAAGCAGCCATATCCTTAAAGTCGTCATAATTTCCTATAATAATTCAAAGATAAATTGTTTATTAATTGTCAAATAGCCAAAAAAAATTTTAAATACTTGCTAATAAATGATAAAGGAAATTAATTTTCACTGTATTATTTATAATCTGTAAAGAATTCATTGATAAAATATACATCTCAGATATAATGTAACTTGAGATGCTTGGCATTCCTTTGCTATGAGTAATCTTTCTGATACAGATAAGATCTTCATAATGGTCAACAAAGTTAGAAAGTAATTAGATTAATCAAATTTTGAAACTTTAACCATTACATTTCACTGTTACTGAAATTGATAAAAATACTATGAATAAAAGTTGAAATAAAAGTACAAGAATATTGCACCATTAATAATGATTAAATAAAATTCAAATAAGATAGCTAGTATCCTTGTCAGTTTTTCTGTTCTGTGGGCCCAACAAGGATACACTAATTTACTTTTATTCAAGTATTTTGATATACAGTATATACAAGATGATTCAAAAGATCTTAGACAAACTTTAAACGTAGGCCAGGAATACAAAAACCATTTTTACCAAGGAACTTAACCACAAATACCACCCAGAATACTAGAAGTACAGGAAGAATCATGCAGAAAGGAATATAAGGTTTACAACATGTTTATTAGAACACTTGGATGGTATTTGTAGCTACATTTTCCAAGGTAAAAATGGTTTGTTTTTGTACTCCTAACTTATCTTTAAAGTTTGTCTAACATCTTTTGAATCACCTTGTATATATTATATATATACAGTATATTTTTAAATATGTTCAAAAAATTTGTTTACATGGATGCATGTAGAGCAGAATAGTTTTTAAAGCATATAATATTCAGCTTTTTAATGTTTAATTTCAAAAATAATAATAATTAAAATGCCTTAAATATCTTATTTTTCAAATATTAGATTTATTTATTTTTAAAACTAATATATTAAGATAAAATCTATATTTCATTTTTTAGTTCATTAGTTTCATCACCACCACTTGAGTAAAGACCTTATTACTGCATATACAGCAATTCTTAATATTTGGAATAATTCAGTTTACTGTCAACACGAGACAGATGATAACTGTAAATCATGATTTGATTGTATATATAATCATATATGTAATTTTAAATTTTTAAACTTAAAATAGTATTTTTATTAGAACCTACTATTGTTACTTGTAGAATAGGTATTGATCTTTTTCAATGAAATGATTATAAAAATTGCAAATATAATTATCAATTAGTTAATCAGAAATGAAAATAAAAATCTTACACAGGTTCGGGATTTCCATCAGCTTCACATTCTAAAGTAAATGGCTTATCACGTTCGTCCTGATTCTGTACAACTTGATACAACTGTTCATAAGGTGGCTGTTTGATCATGGTAGGAGGATACTGAACTGCCGCTATTACCAAAGTCACATGCAGCACGGGGATATATATTGTAAGAAGCAGCCATATCCTTAAAGTCGTCATAATTTCCTATAATAATTCAAAGATAAATTGTTTATTAATTGTCAAATAGCCAAAAAAAATTTTAAATCTAGTCTTTTTTTACAATGAAACTAAATATAATAAATATTTTTCTACATTTGAATGTTTTTGAAACCATAATTTTTCTTTTAATATATATGTAGTGTCTTCTTTACGTATATAAAGAGTCTTCTTTATGTATATATGATATCAAAGCAGTTGCACTTGAATTAAAGCCCATCATTAAAGTTGGGAAGTTCAGATGCTTCCTCTTTTCATTACCTGTATAGGGACTATTTCATAGAATTGTTCTTTATTAAGTTTACAGTTGTTTGGAGGTATATTAGTTCCCACTTTTTCAATGCTGAGCAATTTTTGATCATTTTTCTCCCATTTTATACTTAAATTGAATATTTTGTGAATTTTTTTCTTTTTGTTTATAAATTTAAAATTAAATTTGTAATCATTAATATATTTTTTTTATATATATTTTAAATACAGTCTTCTGTTGTAAAATAACAAGGACAATTCCATTGTGTATGACAGTGAGGTAGGAGTGTGGTTGTGACATGATAGCTTACCAGTTTTAAAAATGCCAAAGATACCAAAACCAAAACTGAAAAAGTTAGCATATAGCTTTAAAGATAAAAGAATTATAATCCATGATAGTATTTTGAGACACAAACTGTATAATGTTACCATAAATTCTACACAAATTAAGCAGCACATTAAATATGCAAAACATATTTCCAACAGGGAAAGAAAGAAGAACATTAAGAAAAGCCAATTTTATTTTGGCATCATTAAATTCTACAAAAGACAACACAAGCAAGAATGAATTTCCATGTGAATAAGCCACAGCTTTAATACAATCAGGGATTGCTTTATTCAAAACTTTCTAGAAAATTATACCAAGCACTCAATCCCTGACCAAATCTGCTAAGGAGAATCTACATACAGGCTGTATATGAAGCAAATTTCAAAAAAAAAAAAAAAAAAATACAGAAGATAGTATGAAACAACCCATTTTTAATTTTGTATGAAACAATAGACATACTAAAAAGGTACATGCTAAACATTCTTGTCAGTCCATTAACAGGGGAGTCATGCTGTTAAGAGTTTATGAATTAGAAAAGCAAATTCTATAGCTATTACACAGGCATTCAATGATGCATGTATCAAATTGTGAAACTTTGCCATTCTGTATGAAAAAGTTTGATTACTTGTACCAAACCAGGCAACATAAATGCAAAGTGCATGCTCAAATATAAAGTATCTAAATCTGAGATATGTTACTTGTCTATGTGAATTAATTAGGGCAAATTTTCTTAGGCCAATGATTTCATTTTGAAAGTGAAATAGGCTTTGATTAAATGTCCTGTGAATGCACACCTATTTAAAATACTCCAGCAACAAGTTGCTTAACTTTCCGGCAACATTTAAAACCGAGTGTGATGCCATCTGTTATGAGATTTTATTATTAAAAACTTTTTATATTTTTAATTATTATAAAATGACAAAAAACTTAATTTTGAGGGTAGGGATGGGTTTTATAAAAAAACTGTAAATGCTAATAATGAGTAAAATAGTTATTAAGTCTGATCCTACTGGAGATACACACAACTCCCTTTATCTCCTCACCCACTCGACTTTTAACTACAAAAATTTAATAGCATGAATCTACCTAATAAACAAACCTCCCTACCAAATTTCAGAAATTTTTGATAAAAAGCACAAAAGTTATTAAGCTTCAAAGAGGGTGAACAAAATCATACCCCAGACACACACACACACACAACACTAGCATCAATACATACAGAAAACACTTCCCAATTTTTTTCCCATTTCTTAACATTTCAAGGTGTCCTGAGTCCAAAAATGTTAACATTTAAGGGGGGATATTTTTGCCGGATTGCCATACTTTCCCTCTGTTATAACGGCTGGAAAAGTAAAAGATAACTGGCTGGTTATTCCCAAAACACTCTATTAAACATGTGGGGGCATGTGGATTCAAGTGGCCTGTTTCTATTGCAAAAATTTCTTACTCATGGAACCATTCATTGATAAACTGGACTGAAAGGGTTGAAATGAAGCTGGGCTTTCAGTGGCTGCAATGAAACTCAAGAGTCTGTTGAAACAAGAAGCCTTGTGAAAGAAACTCTACACTGTTCATTCATACAAATTTCTTAAAAATTTCTACGCTTGGGAAAGTAGCCTTTCTACCAAGAAGCAGCAGGAGATTTTTAAACATGTCAAAAACCAGTTGAATGGACTTGCATTAAAGAAACTGGAATACTCCAAGCAAAAGTCTAGATATTCAAAACATAATTCCAAATTCTCTTCAGTCACAAAATCTAGAGTTTTTAGCAAAAACCAAATATGCTCCTCTTGCATCTATTGATGTTGAGAAATTTTTTCTCTCAACACATCTGTTTAAAGATTTACTTTCCTCATGCCATCCACGGCTGACCATGGAGAATGTAGAAAGACTGTTTGCAAGTACAATACTATGTACTTGGAAACACACAAGTGTAAACTATAAAACTGATGGATCAGATTCCAGAAGTGATTAACTGATTTAAATTTTGTATAATTTTCTTGAGTTTTTTGTGCTCTATGTGTATTCTTATGTGCAATAAAATGATTTTACTTTTACACATTTTTAGCAGCACTTGTTTTAGTACTTTTTTAAAGAAAATCTGAACCTCAATTTCCCAAGTTTACCCATCATCATTAAGTAATGGATAATACAAATTTATATTTTAAATTATAATTATTTTTTAACATGACACCTATTAATATGTAGATATATACAGTATAGTCTTGTTTTATGCAGCAGTTACATATCACCAAGTGCTACATAAAACAATATAATCTAAAACAATATTCCATGTAAATTTGTTCTCTATGTAAATAGTTGCAGACATTTATGCAACAATTTATAATGCTACAATGTGTTTAAAACTTTATCTTAGGTTTTTACAATAATAAACATCTTATTCTGTTGTTTCCGAATAAACAGAACAAAATTTTATTATACTGTATACAGGAAATGAGAGAAAACAAGTATTTTTTATTTTGGAAAGAAACAAATAATGTGCTAAAAAGATACATGCTGAACATTCCGATCAGTTGGTCAACAGGGAAGTCATGCTGTTAAAAGTTTACGAATTAGAATATATCAAGTGCACTACAAGAGAAAAATACATACGAACTAGGATGTTCATTATATTGACTAGCATTTCATGTATTCAGAATGTCAAAAGCTGGAGAAGCCTGGTTTACTTATTTATGAGTTGGATTTAGCAGTGTTGGGAGTGAATTAACCTAACTAGTCACCTTCCACGAAAACATGAATTCACATATGAGACTTTACTGCACATTAATAGCTATTAGGTTCATAGTAAGTAATGAAGTTAAATATGCTAAATTATCAAAATACAAACAAATTTATTTATTTATAGCCCAGTAATTATACAGTTGCACAATTACCAGGCAACTGTATCTATATTTCAACTGTTACTATATTATTTTTTTAATGTAAGAAGAGTACACCTACTAAAAAAACATTAATATATATGTTTTTATGAAAGAAGATTATCTCATGAATTATGTGTTTTTTAATTATAAGTGATTGGCATTGCCAAAAAATTTATAATATATTCATTATTGTTATCATCAAATGACATATTCTCATTAATACTTCAATTTAATTTTCTTATTTAATAATAAAACTAATATAAGCTATATTAACTAATTGAATTGCCAAAAATTCAAATTACAAACAGAATGATTCAAATTTTTACAAATATACTCAATGCATTGACACCTTTTGCTGCCATGCAAATTAATATTGTATAAAAATAATTACACATATATTTTTATTAATACTGTCATACAATTAACAACTATACATATGTATATTTAATTATGAGGAAATTATGTGGAACTTATGAAATATTTAAATCTATTTCATAAGCTCTTTACAGATTATTATTTTGAATTATTATTAAAAAATATATTTAAATCTTAATTATAAACAAGTTTTACAACTGACAATAAACATATGCTAAAAGAAAAGTGACAGATTTTGATTCCCAGACATATACAATGTCTCTCAAAAACAAATAAAATGCTTATAATTAAACTGAAAAAGTCATAACTTAACATTTATATAAATGTTTTTGAAACATTTAAGCTTCTTAAAAATAACAGTATTATTAATAATTAAATACTGAGTAATTTTGTACTAGAGGTAGATGTTAGGCATCATCTCTTATTATATTTAATAATGAGATATGGTATTATTGATACTAGAGATGGAACCTAATGCCTGCCTCTAGTATCAAATTATTAATAATATCAGTAAAGTAACCCGATTTAAATACAGCAATTGTTTGGTTTCATTATAAAATATCAGGCTTTGAGATGTTTATAAACATAGTCTTATATTTTAATTTATGTAACTGATTTATAGTGGCTGTTAAAGTGAGCTGAAAACTAACGAAAGCAAGAACATACATTATTTTTAATAATTAAATTAGTAGAACTGCAAAACTAAATTAAAATTCCTAAACTTCAACTATTTTTATTTCTCCAATATCCTTAAAATATACTATTCTCCTGATTTTTGAAGATCAAAATGAAAAAAATCCACTTAAATTCTAGTACTTTCAGGCTTTTCTGTCTATTCTTCATGGTGCCAAAATTGTTGCCTTAAAACTTTGATAGTATCCTGGCTAACAAGATTCTTTTGGCATACACTTTTTAAAAAAACAATAGTTTTGATACTGCTAAAGTTATACTGGAAATCCTAAAATTATTAGGATTTAAGTAGAATTTCTTTGTTATGATTAAAAAATGCAGAGAAATATATATGCATTAGGCTTAATAAACAAATGGTAAAGTCAGATTCTTACTGGGCTATAAAACAGTTAATTATTAAGATAAATTATTAAACAATTCCATAGCCATATGAATCCAGATGTATTATTTGATTATTAATATAT